TATCTCCTTCCTGTTGGAAGAGGAATTCCATAAGTGCAGGTCCACTGCCCTCATTCTGTGCTGCTGTCTTGACCACTTCCTCACTCATATAAAGCCTTTTCCCTTCTCGTTTGAAGAGTTTTTCCTCTAGTAATTCTGTAAAAGATATTCCATTCCTTGCCGCTACCTTAACCATTTCCACAGACATTGGAAGAATTCCCTCTGCGTACTGAAAGAGTACTTCCAGGATTCTATCCCCATGCATCTCATTTCCTGCCGCTACCTTAATCACCTCCTCAGAGATTGGAATACTTTTCTCTCCACATTGAAGGAGTAATTCCAGGGACTCATGCCCAAAAACACATCCTGCTGCTGCCTTAACCACTTCCTCAGAGACTGGAAGGCTTTCCTCTCCTTGCTCAATAAGTAATCTCAAGAATGACACGTGCCTTGCTACTGCTGCCTTAAGCAGTGCCTCAGAAACTGAAACTGTTCTATCGCAGCATTCAAGGAGATAATGGATATTGTCGTATCCCCAATGATGATTCTCTATTGCGGTTATAATCACATCTTCAGAGACCAGGAGATCTTGGCCACGATGGTGAACGATAATCTTTAAAATCTCGAACCCATAAATTGAGCGGTTTCCTGCTGCCGCTTTGAGTACTTCTTCAGAAATTGGAATGGCTTCCCCTTGCGCTTTAAAGAGGAGCTTCAATATCTTGGCTGCCTTTATTCCAGTATTCCCTGCCGCTGCCTTGACCACCTCTTCGGAAATCGGGAAGAACTCTCCACGGTGGCGATAGATAGCCTTCATAACCTGATGTCCATACCTTCCAGAGTTTCCTGCTGCTGCCTCAATTACTTCTTCAGAGATGGGAAGACTGGACCCCTGAAGCTGGAAAAGGAGCTCCATGATTATATAGCCACATGGTCCATCATTCTCTGCCACTGCCGTGAGCATTTCCTCGGAGATTGACAGATCGTCTTGCTCACTTTGAAAAAAGCTTTGCAAGATCTTGTCAGGAGAGGATCGAATGTCCTTTGCAGAAGCCTTAGTCAATTGCTTCACAATTGAATCATCTGTACCACTCAAAACGAGCAAGCGCGCTACATCATCGTCTTCTGACTTCTCCAAGGCCAATGCTCCCATGGCAACGCCTGCCATGATTCGGGTAATATTGTTTCGTCTATATTCCGCCTTCAAGGACTGTTCTTGGTAGGCTGGAACCATGTCAGGGAGCTCTGTTTCAGGCCATTTCTGAGGCCTAGTATCATTATTCAGAGGAATTCTCCACGCCAGTAAGATATCACATGATCTACCCAGTGCATGCCATTCATGAAAATTGCTTTCCGGAGAATCTCTGGGGCGCATTTTGCAAAGAGTCACGGCAGGTGTGATTATCCTGAAATGGTCTCTGCAAAGTCTAATGATACTTGGTCTCGAAGCCCCATGAAGAAGGAAAACGATATCCCCGGGGTTAAAGGCCTGTGCAAAAGTTTGGAGTTCCCAACCAGCTTCCCATTCGCTCTCATAACCGATTGACCGGGCTGTATTATTGAGATAGACTTTCACTTTTTGCTGGCCGAAGTCTGATACTCGTTGCACGGAGCAAATATGGCCTAGAACCCGACCCTTGCCTCTGATGATGACTATATCTGATCCAGGCCATGTTTCCACGGAACCATCTGGGAAAATGTAACTGGTAACTTGCTTGAACACCTTGTTCCAGGGGAAGTCATAGTTTGGCGTCAGAGCGGGTGTCATCGGGTCAGCACTTAAGCCTAGAAGTGCGTAAACTTTATCATGCTGCTCGGTAGCATCGTGGAAGCAGTACATGCCCACAAGCTCCCCAATAGTAAGAGATCCTCGTGACATGGGCTCATATTTGGGCCTGAAAAGCGCCCCCTTGATAAGAAAAACGATTGGGCCTATCATGTCTTGATCTTTTGGGGTAAGACTAAGTTTATTGAGGCCTTCGCATAAGATATGTCCGTTTATCTGAACTGAGCCACACATGATATAAATGGATCTTGCGACACCAACTTCCTGAAGTACCTACTATGGTTGTTAGTTGACACTCCTCTGATAGTTCAAGGTGGGGGAAATATTTTGACCCAAATACGGTGAAACCAAGCTCTTTCGAACAAATTCACACATAGTGCTTTACACCCCCTAATATCTACATCCTGCCCTTCCGCTAGGCACCGGAGTCCTTCAAGGGCTCTATCGCCATCTTCGTAAGCCTCTCCAAGCCAAACAATGACATGTTGAGCTTGTGCATATATTTCCCTCATCAGTGGGATCTGCTTGGCTTTTTCATCCCGGTTACTCTGATCAATGCAAATCGCATCAACCCACAGTATTCTCTCAAGCTGCCGATTCCGGAGACGTGACAGCGCAAGATAGAGGTTCTCCGTTACGGGGAATACGTAACTGTTCAATTTGATGGTCCGAGATTTCGTGTTACTTCCCCATACGTAGGAAAGGGCCTCGTAGAGGTGCGAATCCGCGCCGCCGCCTGACGCTAAGTCATAGTTGAAGAGTTCGCATTCGATTTCTGCATCTTTATCTTTATTCGGCAGAAGGCGTATCATACGAGTAGTGGGATATGGAGACTCTCGCGGGAGCTCTGTGTAGGTAAAGGCAGGTCCTGTCAGATCAGAGTTGCGTGCCGGTTCTGGAGACATGGTGTGGTCCAAGTCTCTCGTACGATATTCAGTGAAGATCGTATGGACCTTGCGTGAACGCGTTGACCAGTAGACCAAAAACGATATATCGCGTCTGTCTGAAGCGCAGACGGCGAGATACGTCCCAACGCCTTGACCAGTGTAGCAGCGTAAGAGAATGGAGATGAATTCGGGGGGGTGGGCTTTTCTTTGGCCATTAGCTACAAGGGTGCTAACTCACAAGTGGAAGGTGCATGGCGCTGAGTTGGTGCGGCTGAATGGCGGGGTACACTGAGACCGATCAATGCTAACAACATTACTAATCTCATGAAATTATTCTCACTGCTCTTATACAGATGGGGAGATGTATAGTGGAATTATAGACCGTAATTTCGGTTCTTATCTCTCCCCGTTTGATGTCTCTATACCCAGTATACCGCAACCAAGTCCGGATCGTTTCCATGGAGTTTGGCATACAACTGCTGCGCACAATCATACGAGGTAGAGAGCAGGGAATGGACTGAGAATTGCTTTTTCTGTAATAAAAATAGAAACAATATACACCCTCTGTCTGTCGATGTTATAGGCAGAATGATTGTCTGCCAGCATCTACCCAGGTCAGTAGTTAGTTACTGCTAACTCGGGCAAGGTCAGTAGTATGTGAGGATAGATAATATACTGGGGACTAAGTACTATAGTAGATCAGTACTAGTATAGTGAGTACATATTATGACCATCCATGATTCAATGACTGCATTGAAGTGGGTCTTATTGCTAGTAGATATATATTTTAGCAGTTCAACGACTTGAATGTTACCATCTCTCAGCATACTCCTAAAGAGATAGAGCTCCAGCTACTGCTAGTAAACAATTCTCAGAGTTCGAATATCAGTACAATATACACTAGACACCCCTTAGTGCTATATCCTAAGCCAAATAGTAAATATCGATATAGATGGCAACTAAATAGCACGTTCTAGGTTTCATGGCTTACACGGTTAGAAGAGCTATCTAATGCTTATCTAATATATAATTACTTATGAACCTATGCAACTCATTATGCTGGGGCCCAAGAAATGAAGGGGCAAGACTGGAATCTGATGCTGGTCTGAACGGCAATATGATGTGTCTTGTATACGACTCTACGTGCAATGTTCCTAGCCCTGCGTAGACACGATGGGAAATAGAACATTTACTCACCATGCCATCAGAACTTACATACCAGGGAAAACTTCGGGTCTTTTTGTCCTCATATACTACTATTCAACTAAGACATATGATGATAAGATTAAGACATGAACCACGAGCACAAGGAATATGAAACGACAAAAGAGGGAATCTTGCTGCGCTGCTTGAGATTGGGACAGGTTTCATCGACAAAAGCAGAAATGGGAAAAAAATAAAAAAGGGATGGGCAATGAGAATGAGGTTATGCAGGTTCAGCGACAACTGTCAGCAAATTAAAAAGATGCTATCTCTGACCCCAAGCTTCGCAACATGGGCAGCGCGAAACAGTTCGGAGATCTTTCGACCAGATTAAAGAAGACATGGGAAGAAGCCAAAATTTGGGAGAGGGAAAGAGCAGAGCAGCAGCAGGATTCCATCACCTCTTGTCCGCAACACTCTGAGTGAACAAAAGGGAATGCTGCCAGTCGTCAAGATAAACGGAACGTTGCATTTTCCCCTCTCCTCTCGGATAAGAAGCTATTAACGTGAATAAACGGTCGACTAATCTTTCCCCCGTCGACAGTCACAACTGCCGTGCCACGAATCTCATTACATAGGCACAAACGGCGTCCGGGGTCAACATGCAAGATCCGTCTCCCTCCGGGGAACAGGTTCAGGAGGAGCTCAAGCATCGCTGATGCTATCAATCTGACTCTGGCTTGCTTCACGCGCCATGCGAGCCTCGATCTCCCTCAGCTGACTCTCACGAGCCAACAGTTCCTGGCGCTTCTCAGCGATCTCGCGCTGCACCTTGAGTTCGATCTCGCGGAGCTTCTCCTCCTCGCGACGAAGCTGCTCCTCCTTCAGTCTGACGGACTGGGATGCTAGATCTTCTGGGTTCATCGAAGAGTCTTGTGTACTGTGGCTATGGATTAGCTTTCGTTCCAGTGGACCGTAACAATGGCAAGCGGGTATACGTACGGCGTAGCACCATCCACACTCTTGCTGAGCTTCTCAGTACGGTAGTTTTCGTAGAGGAAATCGTGGGTAATTTCCTTAAGGTCTGCGAGATGGCTGTGAAGAAGAGCGCTGCGGATGGCCAAGAAGTCCGAGTGACGGGGGTTCTCAACGTCCACGACACCCCAAGGATATTGCCTGGCCCGCACCTTCTTGCCGTCAATCTCAACGAAGTCCTCGGAGCCAACAATGGCAAACGGCATCAGACCACGAAGCTCAGCATTCTCCTCCACGGTGTCCTCGTCGTCCTCCTCGATATCGTAAGGGAAGTTGTACACGGGAATGCGGTAGTGCTCAATATCCTCCATGATAAGCTTCTTGGATTCGGCCAATTCGGCAGGGGTGAGAGAATCGGCCTTGCCGATGACGGGGATGACGTTGACACGGGGAGAAAGGCGCTTCATCAATTCGATGTCCAGCTCACGCAGTCCATGGCCGGTCGGTGTGATGAAGTAAAGCAGGACGTGAACACGGTTGTCCCTGAAGCGGGGGTTACGCTTGATTCGTGATTCCTCCGCAAGAATGTCATCGTATTGGCGCTCAAGGTATCCAACGATTTCGCCGAAGCTGTTGGGACGGTCAGTATTCGTAGGGGGCGATAGGAAGGCGGCCAAGTTCAACGTGCCTTGCTTCGTTGTCAATCTGGTCTCCGAATCCGGGGGTATCAACGATGGTGAGGGAGATGCGGGTGCCTTCGTCGTCCAATTCCAGCTCTTTTCGAGATCTCATTAGTGGCGTGTATGCTGGTGGTCCAGATGGCGGTGACTTACCAACTGTGACTGGCTTGATGCGGACACCCTCCTCAATGTGAGCGTTGGCCGGGTCGTCGCAGTCCTTGCCTTCTAGGACCTTCTTTCCACAAAGAGTGTTGACGAAGGTGGTACGTCCTAACGAAAAGAGGGAATTCGGTCAATTCTGCAATCGAAGTTGGGTTGTATGATGCTGCACATACCGGTTCCGCTGGCACCACAGACCATCAGACAGAACTGGATACCCTTCTTGACATTCTTCTTGCGACGGAGCTTCATCTGGGTATTAGAGCAAGAAATTAATCGTGGACAAATCTCTGACCAAGAGCCTGAAGACAGATAATGAAAAGAAAACGACGGTTCCAGGGACAATGGACGGGGTGGGTTGGATGGGAGGGGGAAGGAGCATGGATAGGCTTCAGAGCAGCAAGGCCAGAAAGGGGAAGGAAGTAACATACCGCGTTGAACGACATGGTGAATTAAAAGGGGAGGAATGGAGGAAATTAAAGAAGAGAGAAGAAGAGATTGAAGAAAATAGAGGGAGAAAGCGAGTGGCAGAGACAAGGACGAAGGTGGTTTGAGCCAAAGGAAAGGAATGGGGGGGGAAAACAAGAGAGGTGGAATGAAGGTTGAATGAATTAGATGGAGGAGTGGATGGGATGGGATGTGGAATGGCTGCGTTGCTCCCCTGAGGTTCGACGACGGGCGGACACTCTCTGGGCAAGCTGGAGGGACTAAAGAGCCGTTTGGCTGGCGCTTGCTACTGATCTGGCAGTTAGGGGATTTGCTAGACTCTCTCTAAGGGGGGGATTTCTTCCCTCCCGTTTTCCTGTTCGTAACAATTTCTTACCGCTCTGGAACGGTCACAACTGCCCCCTTTCACCCTGCAGTCCCCAACGGTCCAATCATCGCTCTCCTTCTTTCTCCAGATTGATCGGTCGCTGGTAATATTGGTATCTTATGTAACCGATGATACATCGATACCTTAGTGGTCGTACCACTCCCACTTTTCTAGACAATTCAGTTACTCTCCCATGGATAGCGGGCTCTCAGGCACGGTTCCTGTATGGAGTAAATGGAGTCTAGTAGTTATCCCCCTACTAAGCACTTAAGGTACATGATTACGAACGCTTTGTTCAATTGCTTAGATAGCTGCCGATTTCAATGTATACAGTATGATTCCCATCTAGTATGCCCAGACCTTGTCTTTGGGTATCTCCCTACCTGCGTACTCTTTCAACACTCATTATAATACCTGTCCAATCTGGGGACGCCTTGATCATCAATTATTGTCTTTTCACTGAGAGAGAACACACTTCAGGTCCCCACTCAGCGGCCAGTGCTATGACTCGATAGGGAATTTGTTCCTTCGGTCCAAGTCACATAATATCCGCTAACTTGTTCTCTGAGGTACAGCGCGACAAGTCAACTGAATGAAAGCATAAGTGGTTGTTGCTGCAATGTCTGGCTACTAGCCTCTGTGCTCTCCCCGGTTCTTCTCAGGGGTCGGGGGCAGCAGAAGGCGTTTCCACCGCCGCCGTGGGTCGCTGCGGGCCGCCGTAGCGGTAAGCAATTACCCAAATACTTACCATACAAGCTTGGAATTTTAGGCCTCAGGCCTGAAACAATGGCTCCGAGACATTATTATTGACTTACGGAATATTCCTAACCGCAAAACGGTAGACTAACCGCGCGGGTTCGATTCACGCCCTTGTCATTACATGCTTTTCTTTTTCTTATTCTCGATCGTCTTTGCCGAAGTATATCAAGAAGTTCTTCGTCGCCTTCTGTATGGGTGTAAGATGATGTGCATTGATCTCCGTTGAACAACATCACCACGCTGTGCAGACAGTCTATTGGCCCGGCATCCGCTGCCCTTCCGGCATTCCCCCAGCCAAAAGCGGACCCCCGGGCCTTATCTACGTTACTGATGCTCGGGTGAGGTCAGCGACCGCTGTCGATCTTCTAGTTTCCTGTCTACCTTTCTACCATCCATAGCTCTGATGGCCTCTTTCCCTGGTGGCCAGAATGAACACCCGACAAGTTATCGATGAGTCTGTGGGGCCACTCTCACTCTCTGCTACATTCAACAATGATACCTCCTGCTTCGCAGTTGGGTTGGACACCGGCTTCTGTGGTAGGTCCTAACCATGCCCTTCCTGCAATAGATTCCCTTCCGGGATACCCAAGCTAAGAACAATATGATCTCTATGTAGTGTTCAATACCGATCCATGTGAGCTCAGAGTATCAAGAGGTATACATGATAGCTTCAGCCCCACCATCCTCCAGCTCCGTATCACTAATGCCGTTCGCTCCATCTAGATTTCAATGCCGGCATCGGGGTAGTCAAGATGCTTGGCCAGACGAACTACCTAGCTATCGTTGGCGGAGGGAGACAGCCAAAGTTCCCACAAAATAAGGTGCGCAGACTTCTGTATCTATCTTGCGCAGCTTATGCTCACACAGCGGTCGCAGTTGGTCATTTGGGATGACGCAAGACAGAAAGCAGTAATTACGCTGGAGTTCCGCACCTCGGTCCTGGGCGTCCGACTGTCCAAGTCGCGCATCGTTGTCGCCCTCCTCAATAGCATCCACATCTTTGCCTTCTCGAACCCTCCACAGAAGCTATCATATTTCGAGACAACAGATAACCCACTGGGACTGGCTTGTCTAGGGCAGCAGGTGCTCGCCTTTCCAGGTCGGTCCCCGGGCCAGGTCCAACTGGTGGAGCTTGAGACGGGGAATGTAAGCATCATCCCTGCTCACAGCACGCCATTGCGCGCGATGACATTGAGTCCCGATGGTGAAGTGTTGGCGACGGCGAGTGAAGCGGTACGTCCCTGTCCCTACGACTGCTGATGCGACGCAGACTACTGACCAGGCGCATTCTATCTAGGGCACTTTGGTCCGGGTCTTTTCTACGGCTAACTGCACCAAAATGGCCGAGCTACGACGCGGTGTTGATCATGCGGTGATATTCTCTCTTGCCATTTCGCCCTCGAATCTTCTACTGGCTGTAACTTCGGATAAGTCTACCCTGCACGTGTTCGACCTTCCGCATCCCCGACTACCGACGAACCGTACTCCAGCTGCAGCTTCCCCGACCGAAGAACAAACAAACCAGAAATGGGGCATTCTCGGGAAAATCCCACTATTGCCAAGGGTATTCTCTGATGTGTATTCATTCGCAAGCGCCCACTTTGAAATGGGGGAGGAAGCACCACCCGGCTCGCATTATGTCCCGCCACTGGGTAACTCATACGGGAGCCCGTCGAAAGGCGTGATAGGTTGGCGCGACGATAGGACCATTCTTGTGATCGGCGCCGGCAGGGATGGCCGATGGGAGAAGTTCGTTCTGCGCGAAGGGGACGATGGAAAGCGGTATTGCCTGAGAGAGGGCTGGAAAAGATATTTGGGAGGCAGCTGAAATTCTGTCGGCGGGATAAAGAGTGATTGTTCGCAGCACTACTTATTCGTTTGGCACCAAGGTAGTAGCTGTTCCAGATGCAGGCAAGATCCGTATGCATGCGCCCATGCCACAGCATTGATTCTGAGATGGACACGATATCGCATGAGCCGGCGCAGGATGATGAAACAGCAGACTTGCATTTCAAGAACAGGCGCGGACTGCAGCATTCGGCCACAAAGATCCTGGAGATCTTTTATTGGATGGCTTTTTCCCAGGATCAGTTAGACGACTTAGTCCTCATTAGCATATTTAATATCTAGATAGCTTTTCCAGACATTTAACGGTGTCGATCATGTCTATCTCTGTAGCGTCGGGAGTCGGGGGATCGCGACGCGACCGGCGACCTGTCTCTGTCGGACCTCTCCCTTCTAGAAGGAGACCTCGCTCTATGTGATCGCTCTTCCCTTCTGGGCGACCGATCTCTGTGTCTTCTCTCCGAATCTCGGTCGTCGTCGTGTCTCCGGCGGTGAGAACGGTGATGGCGGCTTGATCTCTCACGGCTGTCACGTCTCCGAGATGATCTCTCGCTGCTGCGCATCTTTTCCAAAGCGAGTGCGACCTCCTCCTTCTTCTCTTCGATAAGAAATTCCTTCATTGGATCTTCCTCGTCGTGATTCTTAATCAGCTCCTGTAGCTCGATCTCCTCCTTAAGCAGAGGCCGTCTCGCGGGCTCCTCTTCCCTTGATTCGCTTCCCCTTCTCTTCCTCCGTCTTCTCCGCTCATCATCTGTATCTCTGTCATCATGATCCTTGCTGGTCGTATCGCCCATGAGCTTTGCGACATTGTCTGTTTCCTCCTCGTCATCGCGCCGCTTGTACCTCACGTGGTCCACACGCAGCACTCTTCCCAGAACTGTTGCCCCACCAAGATTGTCGACAGCGAGATCTGTACTGCGTTGATCCTCGTATTTCAGAAAGCAAAAGCCTCGACTCTTTCCGGTCTCTTTGTCGCGCACCAAGTTAATGTGCACGGGCTCGCCGTATTGCGAAAAGATGGTTATAATATCACCCTCGGATAAATCGTATGGTAGTCCACCGATGTATATGTAAGCGGTGTCTCTGTAGTCGGCGTGCCAGGAAGCTTCCGGGGATCTGAGATAGTCCACAATGGTTAGCAAAGGAACCAATAGGTTGAGCTGCAAATAAGCGTGACATACATGGCATTTTCAAGCTCGCGCTTGTTGAGCGCTTGAATTTGGCGGATATTATTCATTATTGAATAGAGGGTCGCAGGAGCGAGTCAATAATCCCCTCGGAAAACAAAAAGGTCAAATAAGAGCACAGCTGAATTGCGCCGGCGAAGCAAGAAAGTGAGTGGCTGAGAAGGAGGGACAGGAAGCAGCAGAAAAGCTGGCGGGTTCAGCTCATCACGGGCTGGCTCCGCGGGAGGGTCCCACCCGCAAGAACGCCGACACTTTGGATTGTTTACTGGAGTGCAACTTGAACGTATTTCTCGACTAAACAACCTTCCCCTTGAACTGACTACCCCCACCATCTGTGTGATTCAAAGAGCAACAGCGGGCTTACCTACGATACCGCTCATCCGGGTGGGCAATTTGGCCACGGACCCGCCGTTAATCGCTACAAGAGATCGTCCCCAACGCCAGATTCCCCTGACCCCAAATCCGCTTGCCTGGACCGATATCCACCATCTTCTCCAAACTCCGCGGCTCACGCGTCAAAGCTGTCGGACTAGCCTCACAATTATTCGGACGTTACATGGCATGGTCTGCGCCAACTGAACATAGTCGAAATCGAACAGACGATGTCTGCGTCAAGCCAGATCCCCGGCTCCAGGTTCGGCACCGGAAACAATAGCCGGCCGTCGAGCAAGGATGGACCTAAGAAGAACATCTGGTCTTCTATGCTGGATAGTGTCGCGAATGGAAAGCGTTTGCCTGAGAAGAATTTGCTTATCCTAGGTGCGAAGACCTGGTTGCTGCTGCCGTGGAGCGGCATGGACATTTTACTGTTTCGGGACTGGGTCGCTAATACTTGGACTGATTTCCAGGAGGCACGCCTGAGAGTCAAAGAGAATTCCTAGACACACTCGCCGCTGATTCTTCCGATCCTAGCCTGTCGAACGATAAGCGAAAGGGGAGGGTACCGCCGGTAGCCAACCAGTTCGCTTTGGGATACACATATCAGGATGTGCTGGATGCGGACCACGAAGGTAATTTGTTCCCTGAGTTGGGCTGAGTGGTAGGCTCAGCCTGCATTATATGGGTGGCTGAACAAAAGTGCTCCGGCGAATAGATACTCTTGCGCGCGTCTCTGCATACCTACTCTCTGAACCGTCTTTATCTTTCGCTCCCCTCCTCAAGCCGCTCCTGACCCCTCAATCGATTCCGGAAACACTCGTCGTGATCCTACTGGATTGGTCGGACCCATGGACATGGATTCGGCGACTCCGAGAATGGGTCCGTCTTCTCCGACACGTACTGATATCGCTCGATGACGAGACGAAGATCGTCATGGAAGAGAATCTCACAGAGTGGAGGGACCGGAAACGAGGCACGGATCCAAGTTCAGGAGGGGCACAAGGATTTACCAGCTCCGGAGGCCCTGTGACGATACCGCTGGGGCCAGGCGAGTGGGATGAGGGGCTTGGAATCCCCATGTGTGTGGTCTGCCAAGGGGTATGTTAATCTACTTCAGGCTTCCGGCAAGTCTCTATATTGACAATTCCTATGCAGGCGGACAAGATTGAAAAGCTGGAGAAGGACCACGGATGGCACGAAGAGCAATTCGACTTCATCCTTCAGTTCATGAGAACACTACTACTCAAGCGTAAGTACAGCAGCTAACACCGCTTGAGTTCACTTCTAACAGAAAGCAGACGGCGCATCGTTGATCTACACTACCCCGTTCCTCGCCAACTCCTTGCAGAGCTTAATACACTCCTCCCTCGGCATACACTCTCTCCTAAAAAGACAGTCCCTCAAACACAACGTGATCGACCGGGACAAGATTCTAGTTCCCTCGAATTGGGATTCTTGGGGCAAGATCCGAATCATCCGTGAAGGCTTTGACATGGAAGGCATATCGACAGCATGGTCGATCGAGATTCAGGATCCCCCGGAGCCACTCACGAACGGCGTGGACGATCGCAACTCCGACGAACAAACCGCAAACGCAGTGGACGACGGAACCAGCGCCGTAGCGATCTTCGAGCAGACCATCCAGGACCCGAAGCGCGACACATCAATGGCTCTAACAGGCAGCCAACGGAACGGAAACAAAATCGAAGTGGACACATCCGACATGCAGAGCTTCCTCACGAAGCAGCTCGAGGTCCTGGAGCAACTGAAGGCGGAGGACGAGAAAGACCGCGCAGCGAAGAAGGTGCCCCAGCTCGAGATGTCACCATTAGACGACAACGGACGAGTCAATGAGCACATCGGTCCTGTACAATTCAATATGGGAGGTATTCAAGTCGACGCAGACGACATGCTCCGCAAGCTAAAGGTAAGATACCCCCTCACCATCCCCTATCCCAACCCAGCATATCTCTAACCACCCCAACCCCAAACAGGAACGCGAAGCCAGCCGCTCCCAAAGAAAAGAAACCCTCTCATCATCCGCCGGCGACGAAAAAGCCCACAACCAAGCACTAGCGAACTTCTTCGCCGGCCTGGTCAAGAAACCTGGGGCAAGTCCCCGCGGCAGCCCATCAGCGTAAAAAAGATAAAGCGATACACCGGCGATGGGTAGTAGATGCTGTTTCTTCTTCTTTTTTGTTTATTCCTGTCATTATGGCGGTCATTGTTCATGTTGATGTTGATGTTGGATTGTAATTTTATTCTTTCCTTTTTTTTTCACTTTTATTCCCTCTTTCTCTTTTTCCATTTTCATTTTCATTTTCACACATTCACGATGCAGTACATACATAACATATTTGGAATGAGTGATTATAACTAACGCGGGGGGATTGTGGCCTGGCTGGCTTGGTGACATCTCGTTGTTGTTACTGCTGCTGCTTTCTCGTTGCTGCTGCTGTTGCTGTTTGTGATACCAGAATGGATTAGGCTGGCTTTTTTCTTTTTTCTTAGGAGTCGGAGAAAGATGAATGAATTTTTCGATAGTATCTATTGCTTTTCTTTTACGGTGCTTGAATTTTTAGCTTTTGAACATGGTTGGTTGAAAGATTTCTCTTCGTTAGCGTTGCTTTGGAGTCCGACTTGTGGGTATTGAGGAATAGTTATTGAATAGCTTCATTTGTATACTCTGAGTTGGGCGTGATTATAAAGACAGAACAGACACTAGTATAGTCTCCCAAACTCAAAACTACATCATTATAAAGTTATATTATGCCATAACCACCCGAAACCACACCTAGTACTAGTAGGAATACAAATATCCGAAACCACAACAACGAAAACCAATCAATCTATCTCTCAGAGACACAGTAAAAAATTACATACCGAAAGTATAGTGTAGTATCAAAACCATCACCAATTCTCCCAAACAAAATCAGGCAACACATGGCGCATAATATTCCAATGCTCGAGAGCCGACCGATCCTGGTACTTATGAAGCAGGTGGGTGTTCATGGAGTGAAGGACACGACGACCGCCCTTCTCGATAGTCTCGAAGCGACTAGCGTCAATTTCGACCTTCGGCATCAGATACATCTGGCGGAACTTGCTGCCCATGTAATCGGCCGAAACGGGGTCGCGGAAGGTGAGCGGCGTGGCGGAGCTCTTCTTGCAGAAGATCACCATGTTGGTGAAGTCGGTGGTGAGGTCGGAGTCGGAGGCTTCGCGGAAGATGCGGCAGGTTGGGAAGACGTATTGGATGGTGCGGACGGTTAGGGCGGCGGGGTAGAGGGAGATGTCGCCGGCGTAGTTCTTTTGGGGGTTAGTTTGGGGGTGGTGGGGAGTTGGGAGGGAGAAGGGGAGGGGGGCTTACGATGGCGATGACTCCGTCGTCCTTGAGAAGGGAGGATAGGCTTTCGAGGAACTCGAGAGTGAAGAGCTCGAGGGGCTCGACGCCTCCGGTGAAGACGTCGTGGACGATGTAGTCGTACTGGGCTGGGGGAGTGCGCTTCACGAAGGTGGTGGCGTCTTCGATGGCGGCGATGTGGTTCGAGGGAAGGTGGAAGTATTCGGTGGCGAACTTGTGCACGACAGGGTCGAGTTCCACGATGGTGGTCTCGATGCCGTGGTGGATTAGGGCAGAGGGGGTGGTGCCGACACCGAGGCCGCTGGGAGAGGTTAGGTGTCTGAATAAGAGGGGGTCGCTGATGAGCTTACATGACGAGTGCCTTGCTGTTGGCATCTACGCGGGGCTCCCCGTGGTCGGTTTCAACCAGACGGACGGCCTCGAGCATGGTGAAGACCGAGTAGATCGGGTCCATCACGGCAGGGTTGTAGTTGTTGGGCATTTTGGTCCACTGGCCGCCGAGCAGGCTGTGGTCGCAACGCATGACACGGAACCCATCGTTCAGGTTATCCAAGACGGAGATGTAGCCGGTGGTGGAGTCCTGGCGGGCAACAAGGGCGAATCCCTCCTCGTTGAGGAAAGAGTTCAAGGCTCCAGAGTTCATGTGGACATTGGACGTCATGGAGAACAGAAGGGAGGGAATAGCGAAGAGCAAGAACTTGGAAGGGGCAATAGCGGTGTAGAAGACTGGGAGCAAGAGTTGGAGACCAGCACGAGAAAAGAAGAAGGTTGTTCCAATGAACTTGGCCAGGAATGCTCTGGCGAACTTCTCGCCGGTCTTGTAGAGGACATAGGAGACCACGAGAGGAACATGCTCAGCGACTGCATCACCGTGTCGGCCCAGATCCAAGCCCGACTGCACCAGCTTACCAGCACAAGCCACAGAGAGCAGAAGCAGAGGGTAGTAGGAGATGACCTCGGTGACTACAGCTCCGAAGGGGTTTCCCATCACGGAGCTTGATGCGAACAAGAAGCTCTGAAGGGTAGGAACCCAGAATGCCACAACAGGGAGCAGGAAAAGAGCCCGGCGGCCGGTCAATCGCTGGATGTAGTCCTTAAGGAACCATCCAGCAGCGCCAACAAGTGCCACTCCATAGCCATGGAAGATATGGGCAGGAGCCGAGCCATATACTGGCGTTAGCATCAGCACCGTCAATGGCGAGTAGAACGCTATCAAGAACAGCAGAGCAGCGCCAGTGAGCAACTGTCTGGTGGTGGGCTGGACAAGACCAGCTAGGGAAGACATGATGTCAGACCTCCAACCCTGAGGGAATCCGGTAAGACCGTTCAATTGAGAGCTTCTGTAGGATCCAATTAGTCTAGGTCCATCTCGCGACTGTATGATTGTTGGCTTCTATTTAACAGCGGAAGAGCTGGGGCGGGGAGCTTCAATGCAACGCCACAACGTGAGCCAAGAAGGATCCCTGAGGGACCCACGTTGTGAAACAGATTGAAACCAGACTAGTCTTACCGGTACTTTTCAGATAGAAAGTCGGACTGATCAACGGACGGTCATTATTCGCTCGGGCGACGTTTTGACGCTGAGGATAATTTCCCTTTGCCGTCCGCGCGCTTCCGGCCCGAATGGGTTTAGTTTCCCCGCGTGTCTCGCCGCGCTTCTCTTCATCCTCAACTTCCCATCGTCATCATCCACCGTGATCCAACTACTACGCCCATTATGCCTCTTTTCCCCATGGGTACGGGTGTCGCTCCTGAGGCAGACTCTTCCCAGATGGAGTCAGACCCCGTGAAAAGAACCCAGTCACCATCTGCGGCGACGAAAATCAAAAACCGGCGCAAGCGCTATCTGGACATGCACCCAGAGTATTTCTCTGCTGATCTCGAGCTAGCCGGTCCGCTCGCTCTGTCTCCTTTAGACTGATTGGTGTCACATTCAGTCGCTCTGTCTATGACAGGGGATGTTTAAGCCAAGCTAATATACCAGCCCTGCAGACCCGTTGCTGTATGATCGCTTAATCCGTCGATTCCAGACTCCAGCCGAGAGGGAGGCCGAAGGACGTGCCAAAGGCTTCTCAGGTGTGCTGCAAGCGGACCTATGTAGATCCGAGGCCAAGTTCGAGGCTCTTTCCCATCCTGATCCTCACGCCATGTTCAGCTATACTCGTGGACCCAACGGAGAGATTCTCGCGGAAGATCGAGACGAAATTCCCCCGAATAAGGAAGAAGGGGAGAAGGCGTGGCGATGGGAGATGACCTTGCGGTTCCTTAGGGGTGAAGACAGCGATTTCGATTATACCTCGGTTGATGACAATGACGAGTACGATGATTGGAACGTCGAGCAGGAAAAATACTTTGACGATGAAGAACCAGAGTGGCTTGTTGAAGGAGTAGATGATGGAGAAGTCAAGTCCCATCTGCAGGGCGAAACTGGTATTCAGGATTTCTGATGGTCAAATCAGGACTCCGATATTGCTCATCTGGGTGTTGTGGCTTGCCTCGGAATTATGGTGGCTATTCACGCTCAGCGTTCTCCCTCAAGTTATGCGCTTACCTGCAGGTCCTCGGTTATTCAACTGCTTTGCGGTTGTGGCTTCGGAGCGGAAGTTTCTGCTGCACTTGTTTGCAGTGAAGTCTCGCTGAATGGGCAAACCCCATATCCATAGCACACGATCGAAATCGTCATAATTGAGCAAGGGAAATGCCTCAAAGCTCTTGCTTTGGCAGGCTTGTCACCCCCATGCCGCAATGAGAATGCAGTGCTCTTTGCTGTACATCGGTTTAGCAATGATGAATCTGTATTCCGTGGATATACCTATGGAACAAGGCAACTATATCCAAGATGGAACAATACTTGCTCTCAACCAAATCGGATACGTTAGTGATGTCACGTGCCATTCAGTCGGCATCCTCATTGCTTCACAGGACCAGCATCTTGATGGCTCAGTCCGCCAAGTGGCCTACTGAGAGGCTCCAATAATGATGTCGGTTTTTGCTCATGCGTTGACCATTTGTGCTGTAGACGCAGGAATAGCATAGTCAAGTGGTTGGGTCATGTTGCCTTGGCCTAGTTCAATGTGCTTTGGGAAGTTGGGGAAGGATGAAACATCAGACTGGCGGCTGGACTTCTCTGAGTAGTGTTAACGCTCGTCTATAGCATCAACAGAGCCAACCTTCGTTAAATCTAATCTTGTTCTTCCTAAAGTAGCTTGCCTCGGTCATTCAATACTCAGCATAGACTCGCTTCCCTGAAGCCATTCAATTTCATCAATTAGCACCTGGTGAATTTTCTATATCCATACTCTATATCTGTTTCTATATCCACTGTGCCCTTTAGAACATAGGGGTCTACATCATCTCCGAGGTTTTGCTTATGGCCTCCATGGCTCTGGAGCGATGATGCTCCAGGCTGGTGTTGCTGATGGCATCGCTTGCCCTGCCATAGTCATGTCATGATGTCGTGAGAAAACTCGTCTAAGTGCAAGTATGACATGACTCTACTGCCTAGATGCCGTTTCCTTCCCACAGAAACTCCCCCGTCGCCAACACCCTCCTTTCCATCGTTCAACTCTTGTTCTGCAAAGTACTGTTGGCTCTAGCTATAGCAGGACATAGCTCTATAAGCCCAACTTAGCTTTGTAACTATTGCAGTCGATCATTTGCTATATTGGCTGCAAATCTTGCTCCTCCACTCCCTTCTCCATCCTTTTCCCTTTATCTCTCGTTGTGACCTACACAACGATATCTTAGCGGATATACCTTGCTTCCAGGTATATCCCATCGTGGACCGAATAAAGGTCCACTCGTCTCAACAGACTCGTATCGATACAAATACGATGTCTTCCACTGCTTCTTCCTCTTCCTCCTCGAGCGTCGACCACAGTGTCGGCTCCAGCGAGCTGGATGATCGCCTTGGGAAGTTGATCATGCCATGCTCCAAGCCCACTCCTAGCCAAAGCAGCGACTACCAAGCTGTGGAGGTCCCCGACGACTTCGACACGAGCCTAACCTTCGAAGCATCCAATAGTATGTATGTGCTCGAGGAAATGAAAGCCTATAAGATGAAGGAAGCCTTCTACAGTAGCAAAGGCGAGGTTCTTGGCAGAGGTGCCTACGCACAGGTCCGCGTCGTCTATAAGCGCAACAGCGAAGACAGGGCATCTCGTTATGTTGCCAAGGAGTTCTTCAAGAGGAAGTATGCCCCATACGATGTTTTCGTGCGTGATATTCGTAAAGAATTCATCGTCGCTCGTCATGCTTGTCATCCAAATGTCGTCAAAACTGTTGACCTTTGCATCAAGGAGAGGCAGTGTAGCATTGTCATGGAATACTGCAGCCAGGGTGACCTCTTAGATGTCCTTTCGATCGGTCGGGTAAGCACCACTGGCAAATTATGCCTGTTCAAGCAGCTTTTACGTGGTGTATCCTACCTTCATAACCATGACATCGCCCATCGAGACCTGAAGCCAGAGAACCTACTCCTCACGGAAAAGGGTATTCTCAAGATAACCGACTTTGGTTTCGCCGTGGTCTTCAGGGACCCCGAGATAAATCCCGATAGAGTCCGCCAGTGTTCGAACAAAAACATCTGCGGTACCGAACCCTATCTGCCACATGAGGTATGGTACAGTAAATACTATGACCCTCGCCGGCTTGATGTATGGGCCTGTGCCTTGATCGGACGATACTTGTTCAATCATAGCATGGCCTGGGAGGTCGCCGACGTTAAAAAAGATAAACAGTTCCAAAGCTTCGTACTTACCTGGATGGAATTTCGTGAAAGCCGTTGTGCCAGCCTTATTGAATGGGCTGATACCCATGAATGGCAGCCAGGGTTCGGGCCTGCAGACTACCCTAGCGTTCAGATATGGTCTTTGATACGCATGATGCTGCACATTAACCCCGAGAAAAGGCTCACCATCGACGAAGCCATGAGTAGTCCCTGCATTCAAGCTATTGATTGCTGTTCTCCGCCGGGGCTTGAAACAGCTTCTACAGACTCTCCCTCTCCTCCTGATACTCATCATCATTGTCAAGGTTCCCAGGGGCTGTCACCACCACGGCACTCATCAGACACGGACACCAGGACAACCAAGTCAAGTGACATCAATAGGCGAGTATATTCAAGTGAGTAGTGAATAACTCACTAAGATCCAATATATCTCGGGTTGATGGTCCTCGAATCAATCCTTTAGTTGAGAAAATATTCTCACCTTACTACACACGTTGAACCGCGGTGCAATGATAATACTGCGGTTCATCCTTTAAAGAATCAGGCCCCAAACTATCGGCGCAACAGGCTTCAACGACACATACCAAGTCAACGAACTGATATCTAACATGTTCTACGTTGATGCTTCTAACCCGATTATTCACAACAAGCCGACTGCTATTGTCGTGCCGCTATTTTTGGATAAGATGTTCACTTCGCCGCTGTGTGTCAACAGAATTACTCTGATATGATGACTTGAGTGACTACGCCTGGATGGGACGAGTCTCTCAAATGACTAACTCGAAATAAGAAGATCTAGAGGGCTAATGCGAGCAAGGAAGCAGTAGATATTCGGATGATGTTCCGATATCCTCCTGTCGATTTAAACATACAGGAGACCTGAAAAATATCTAGAAGTTAACTAGTATAACTACTTATTACCTAACGTTGCTCACTTCTATACTTTCGTCTACGTGACAATGATGCTTTCTTACTATCAAGCCGCGTTTAGTGCTCTGGGAGGCTCTCCGGCACTTAAAGGCCACCGAGAAGACTTGAATATGGTACTATATTACTTTATTCTTATGTAAGAGAGGACCAGAAAAGTCTACAGCCTCTTATCTATAAACGAAGGCCCTGAAAGGCAAGATACACATACCATGAGATTCTAATAGCTCGGAGAATCAAAGCCAGAAAGTACTATGCTACCAATGTCAAAATTGACGAGCTTCTCATATTCGTCGAACAAAACTGGAACACTCAGGAATAATGGTACGAAGCCCGCGTGCTGGCTATTCTATTTTCATACATGAACCCTTCCTACTCCCTTAAGCTGATGCAGGCTGACTTCTCGATTTATTTGGTTTGGACCCGGCAGGGGTTCATCTACCTGTCCATCCAATGCCCTATTTGTGGTTACTACCTAACATGTGCCCCTGATATGAAGACAATTTGCAAATTTGCGATATGCGGTTCAGGATGAATGGATGTATTTTCCAACCTTGGTTCCCTTTCCATTCTTTTGATGTGGCTTTAGATGTCTGGATCGTGGTACGATATTTGGGACTGTATTAGCCATACATGAAGAGGTACCGCGTATACGAGACTACACGCGCCTTCCAACTGACCCAGAAAATTACCACGTTGAAACAAAGGCCTAACGACCCAATAACTGCGTACTTTAACCGATGCGAGGATCTGAAGACCCACGCCAGGGATGCGGCCAAAGGCGCTGGTGTTGAGTATGGTTAGCGGGTTGGCAGACCAAACTTATTCAGTTTGCACTAGATATGTACCAAATTGTGATTTTATGGTGTTTCTACTATTACTGTTGTCAAAACAATTATACCAATTCCGGTCCCACTGGTATAGTCTGTCTCCAGTCAGGGAAGTAGATTCTATACGGAACAGGCGATTAGTGGCCAAGACATTCTGTTGTGAATCATACCAGAGGCTCGGCCAAGTAGATAACAGAGCTTTGTATTTATTCCGGATACAATTATTGATTGTTAATCTCCCCGGTATTTATCCGCATATAGAACCGTCGAGTTTCCAGATGTGATCGAGAACCAATTTTACTTTGAACTACAACATGTGCTTATGCCTTATAAATTACTCGTATATCTCTTCAATGATGACAATACGAATAGGAGATATTCGTACTTGGCACTATTCAATTAGAAACGCCTGTCTTCGACTTAGCTGCCGATCTGTTTATAAGGTTCCTCATTCAATCAAGAAGTCGCGCCATGCTGACGAAGTAGCTCGGCCACTTCAGCTCTACCATTCTCCAATGCCTTAACCTCCTCAGCCACACCCTCATCCGTGGAACAATATGTCTTGAACTTCTCGATCTCTTCCTCCGTGACAGCTGTTTGAGCAGCCTGCAGAGCGGTAGCAAGGCCCGCTCTTTCCAGCCGGATATTCACGTCCGCTCCAGCCTCAATTAAGCGCTTCGCCGAATCCCTAAGTCCAAAGAACGCAGCAGCAATCAGAGGAGTCGCGTATTTTGCCTCGGGGTGGGTCTGATTCACGTCTGCACCGGCCTCAATCAAGAATTCAAGCTTGTCGATGTCATATTCAGACATCGCAGCCTTGGTGATGGCATTGCCGTAGTCTTGCTTCTTCAGTGGCTGGTTAACATCCGCTTTTGCTTCTATGAAGGCCTTGAGAAGGTCAAGATCCCATCCATCAATTGCTGCTTCGAATGCATTGGTGTACTTTCCGGATTTTAGTGGCATGTTGGCATCGGCCCCTGCATCCATCAGTGTTCTCAAAATATCCGATAAGTTGCGGGAGGCTGCGGCCGCAAGAGCACTTCCATAATCACCACGAGACAGATGCGCGTTCACATCTGCTCCTGCTTCTAGAAGACATTTGGCAATATCGTGGTCAGTTGCTGCTGCCAGGGCGCTTCCATAACTTCCCACTGTCGGCAGTGCGTTCACATCAGCACCGGATTTCAAAAGGCACTTGATAGTTTCCGTGGCAGCGTAACCTGAAGCTGCCGCTATCAGGGCGGTACCGTATTCCCCAACAGAAACTTGCATATCTACGTCTGCTCCGGCTTCTAGAAGGATCTCTACCACCTCAGTATTATCCTTTGCGGACGCAGCAGTAAGGGCGCTGCCATAGCTCCCGTAAGGAATTTGCATATTTGCGTCTGCTCCGGCATGTAGAAGAACTTTGACCGCCTCAGCCTGATTTTCCGCAGATGCAGCAGCGAGGGCGCTGCCATATTCCCCACCGGGAAGAGGCATATTCAAATTGGCTCCCGCTTCTAGCAGAGCTTCCAGGATCTCGGGGTCTCTAGACGTTGCAACGGTAGCTGCAAGAGCACTGCCATATTCACCACAGCGAAGTGGTAAGTTGACGTCAGCTCCTGCTTCATAGATCAAACACCTGACGGTTGCCAGGTAGTCGACGCCATCCTCGTCGGCCCCGTCATCGCCATCCCACCTCGACCTGTCGCCTGCGAGCGCAGCTACAAGAGGACTGCCATGGCCATAAGAATGTGCCACGTTCACTTCGGCGTGTGCCTCTTGAGCCAAGTATCTGACAACATCGATCTTTCCAGCATGCGCTGCGGCTTCAATGGCAGTACCGTGGTGAAAGCAACCTTCAAGGCCGCACGGTTGGGAAACCATGTTTACATCTGCCCCCTTCTGAACCAGGTACTTTACAGTCTTGAGTTGCCCCTTGTGAGCGGCAGCCTCAAGGGCGCTGTAGTAGTCAATGCGTCCTAGCGGCTTGCTCAAATCGGCTCCAGCGTCCACCAAACACTTGACCATTTCATGGTTTTTCAGTGCAATTGCTCTTCCCAGAGCAGAACCCAGGTAATCTGTATCCTCTGGCGGCATGTTGGGGTCAGCCTTCGCCGTCTGAACCAGATACTTGACGGTTTCAAGATGTCCCCCATCCACTGCAGCTACCAGTGCGTTCCTAAATCGCCCTTGTCCATAGGAGTATGACATATTCACGTCGGCTCCGGATTCAACTAAACAGCGGACGGCTGCAGTTCGTCCTTTATGTGCTGCTGCAACAAGAGCACTTCCGTAGTCAATGTTATCTCCCTCAGCGGCTATCCGGAAGTTGACATCGACACCCTTGGCGATCAAGTGCTGGCATATCGGCACACTGCCCCCTATGGCGGCAACCGTGAGAAGGTTGTGGCCCCGTTTGTTCAGACGGGAGATATTGATATCTCTGTTTTGCCACCATCCCCACAGGATCTTGTCAAATGCGAAGCGACACATGGCGAAAACGGCGGCATCTTCTGGTTCTAGTTCGCTTCCCTAAATATACCCAATCTTGATATAGAGAAGTTCTCGGAGAGGGCGGTAGTAGTTGAAGGTATTGCTATCGAAGCCAGAGATGTCCCAGCCAGTTGAGTTGTCAAGAAGGGGCTTCATGCTCGCATCAAGCCGCACTTGCCTGTACCATGTCCGATATTGTACACTGCTGTCATCGGGAGCCCCGAGGAAGGTCTTCAAAAGGGATGCCACCGTGCTTTCTTCGGAACAGCCGGATCCGTGCACGTGGACGACCCAGTAGTGTCTAATGTAGATGTGAAATGGGTTCCGTATGTCGATGATGTCGAACTTTTCATCTGGAATGGACTCTTCGCTCCGCCAGAAATCCTGCAGCTCTTCATTAGGCACAGTTTCCAGATCATCCTCGTAGACGTTGATGAAAAACGAGAGACAAGCAGTAGCGGCATGGCAATGTGCCTGAGGGAGGGTCAAATTGTGCCTGCTTTCCAAGTATTCTATGACCGAAGCATGTGAGAAACGCCACACCCCCATCTTCGAATCAATCACAAGGAAGTTGTTACAAAGTGATAGTAACCCTTGCGCGTCAATCTCATCAGCCAAGAATTCTTCGTCATCTTTTGAACCAACACGGATTGCAGATAAGAGCATATTGGTCTTCATGGGCTTGTGTGCGGCCATTACCCATGTCAACGCGCGTTTAGTGAGGGTCTTGTCTGGCTCCTCTAAGGCTTCAATCTCATTCCATATCTCATCATATGCCTTCTGAAGATCCTCTGGAAGGTTTTCTAGCCGCTTCCAAGCGCTTGATTCAGTTCTACATCTGAAAATTTGGTGAACCTGCAACGACGCCCATTGAAACCTATCGAGCATTAGCAACCTAGTACTAAGATGGGTGATCCCGGAATCTTACATTCCCTGGCAACCTTCCAGAAGCTTAGCAATGATCTTTGCCTTCATCCGGCCAATGAAGGCGGTCTTTCTGGCGAGGTTGTCCATTGTATTTCGAGGAATGTCTGAATGTCGGCTTGATTGTGACTTGCTTGAATAGCGACACCGGTACTCCCCACCAATAGAGCCTGGATATCCGGATCAGGTCGACTTGAGATAAATATTTTGACGGTATTGTTCGTTTCAGACACAAGAGTGTTCAGCGCATCAATTATTATATCGCGAGATTCTGGGTCACATTCGTCGAGAGCGTCAATCACCAGCGTAGTCTTCGGGTACACTTTCAAAGACTCAGCAATTAGTTCCTTGCAGGTTTCGAAGCTGAGCTTTGATCCGCTTTCTCGAGCCTTCGAGCATGCCTCCTTCAACTCAGTCTGGATTGGTTCAGGACTGGCCGGGGTAGTGGAAAGTTGGCGCACATAGCTTCGGAAAACAGACAGTGCCTTTCCACGATCCTCTTCATTCCTGTTGCAGTAAAAGAAGGCGAAACCCTCATCTTTGGGAGGGTCGCTCAGCATGCTCTGATAAAGATCAATGACTCGCGATGTAAGGTACGTCTATCCCGTACCGGCTAGCTTTGCTTTAGTATGGAAGAACAGATAGTGAGTGTACTGAAGACTTACGAGAGCCTTGAAGCCAGAAAATACCAGATGAGCTGGCTTCTTCCCAACTACAGAAATCACTGTCTTGTAGCAGCCATTCACCCGTTCCGGGTGTCCTCCCCTCTTTCACGTTGCCATGATGGTCGCCAAACGGCACCGACGAAATCCATTCCAGCAATGCAATGCGCCCTTCCTTCTCCATCCCTTCAAGAAGAGTCTGTACATTCTTATCCACTCGTGTTAATGGAGCATTCAGAGCGTCAAGCATCCCGATCATTCGATCATCTGCTGCTGCACTGCGTCGAGTCTCACATGCTTGGACATCACGAAGCTCATGCTCTTCAGTTGAGTCTACTTCGCAGCGGGCAGTTTCTGGAGGGCGGCCCCCCAGAGATCTTTTGCAAAAGCATTTGATTGTGGCGCAGGCTATGGATCGGCCTGCGGCGAATTTGCAGCTTTCCTGGTTGGGAGTTTCTTCTCTTCTTCGAGTCCGGTGGGGAATACCTTCGCATCAGCTGCCTTCGGCAACTCCTAAATGAAAATGTGAGCTTTACGCAACAGCACGACATATCTTTCCTTGGTACTCACAGGTGCATCGGCAGCATGGCTTTTGTTCTTATGATGGTGTAGCTTCTTCTTTAGCTTGTCAAACATTTTGCCGTCAGTCTGGTCAATCTGCTGTTCGGTGTATGGGGGTTGTCAGATAATTGCTCGCAGAGGAAAACGATGTAAGTAGGACATGGAAAGACACAACCCCATGGAGGGTATAGAGATTAATCTAACAAAGCCGCACAGTTCAGTTAGTAGTGTATACATGCATAAACTTCCGTTGTTCTGGGAAGTGATATGCGGTTTCTCTACAGCACAGACTCAATCGTGGGACCCACCACTCATTACAGAGAAACTGTAAATCGACGGTGTGTGTAGTGTCTAATCTGGTAGGTGCGATCTCTTCGCCTGAGTCGCTGCCGATCTTTCATTTCAGATACCGATGTTCGAGATCTGAAGTACCTCGTCCGCTTCACAGATGCACTTCGGCAATGCCGGCCAATGCATGATTAACTGCTACCTGACGCACACATCGAACGTCTTTCTTGACATTATGGCCCTGCAGCCCTTTTAGTGTAGATAATCTGGCGCTTATATCTCCGACCGTTGGATTATACAGGGATTGTTGCACGAGGTCTGCTGTTCAGGGGTAGAGAGTTATGTGAAACTGTGCGCCAGCTCAGCTGAAGTGAACCGGCTTTGCGTGTATTTTAACTGAATCTGATTGCGTGACGTTTGTTGATTGGCCAAGCATGCAGCAAGGTGCATACCTAGCATGCTGTACCCGCGGGATGATCCCACAGTGGCTGGCTGGACACTGAATCCAAAAGCGAGCATTGCTAGTTCATGCGTGCTGATACGTTCAAAGTAGGGTAATTGCACATCCCAGTTCGACTGCCCGATCAGAGAGGCTTTTCTGTCATCTCCACGTTCAGGAATGGCCGGGGAAGACCAATAAAGTATATTGAATCTCATTTCTCACTTATTGATGATACAATCCTGCACATTCTTCAAAGAAGTGGCTTCCCTGAGCTTCTGATAAGATAACTCTATTATAAGTAATTTATCTGTGAAAGGCGTACCATAATTACTCCTTCGCATATCAGCACTGCCTGTGGGGACGGGTTGCGATCGTAACGAACCTAGTAGACTACTAGTATATCCGACGACGGATAATGACGGCACGGACCTAGAGACTCTTTGCAGCCTTTTTAGGAGCTTGGGGGCAGAAGTCCAGGGAGACACGAGTGCTCCGCGGCCCCACGCGTCTGAAAACAGTGACATCGGGAGAAATAATGAGGCCAGGCGTGACAGACGAACCCTGGCAGAGCTTGGAAGAGCCGGGACAGCGACTCGGACATAAGTATGACAAGCCACGCTAATCTAAGAAGTAGAATGGCGACCCACTCCCCTCTGGATCTTCTTACCCCCAGTAGATAGACGGGAGGAGAGGTCGAATTCTGTGTTTTGGATGCGCCGAATTCGGCGTAGATGGTACATGACTAGGAGGAGTGGGGGTGGGAGTTCGGTTCTTCTTTTCTTGGAGCAGCTGGGGCCCTCCTCCCTACTAGCTTATAAAAGCGAGTAACGAAACAGCAACCTGCTCTATTTTGAATAGACTATTCAGTCATGACATCTGGGACATGATGAAAATCGGGGCAACTTAGAATCTGAAATTGGAAATGTTGACTGAAGACCTGGTATCTATCTACCGGCAGTTACGGAGAATTCAATATAGATGATATTCCTTTACATCTAAATACTTACAAAAGGTTACTGAATATTAGGTATCAGTACTGGATACAAGTACCGTCTTTTGGTAGAAAAAGTAGGTTATCAATCGTCTTAGTTATTCAAGTACATATGTCCAATGATTATCAGTCGAGTTACCTTTTTCGGTACGCTCTTTAAAATGATATTCTTGAACAAATAAGATTGTATGTCCTATGTATCACTCCAAAGTTCCTCTATGTAGATAAATCCCGCCAGAATATGTCAACTCAGCTAAGATTATTCTTCTCCTTCAGCATCTTAACAGCATCTTCCCGAAGCTTGAACTTCTGCACCTTGCCGCTTGCAGTCTTGGGGAAAGACTCGGATGGTTGCAGGAAGAAAACGTATTTTGGAACTATACCAATCAATTAGCTATCTCATGTGAATTGACAGATTATTTCGGTGAATCAAAGGAAACATACCAAGATGGTTACTCAGCTTCTCACGAACCCACTGCCGGATCTTATTCTCATCCGCAGCTTCACTCTCAGGTTCCCGGTGGATAATGAACACAGCCACAGCCTCTCCATAACGCTCATCTGGCACGCCCACAGCCGAGGCATTGATCACACCGGGGTACGTCAAGAGACAGTTCTCAATTTCCAGTGGATGGATGTTTTCTCCGCCGCGAATGATGAGGTCTTTTACGCGGCCGGTGATGGTGATATAGCCGTCTGGGGACATGGAGGCCTCGTCACCCGTCTAAGATCAAGAAGTCAGTACCAAGTAAATCTGGTTGTCGAAGGTTTTTAGCAGTGTATGTATAGTACTCACATGCATCCAAACTTTCCCATCATTATCAGGTATCATAACCTCTGCCGTTTTTACCGGGTCATTCCAGTACTCTTTCATCAGGAGATAGCCGCTCACTGCGAGCTCTCCGCGAGTATTGATGGGCAAAATATTATTGTGATCATCCAGGCTTACGACCTTTGCTTCAACATGCGGGAGTAGTCTTCCAACGGTGTTGATCCGTTTGTCGATTGGGTCATCTGTCGTGGTCATTGCAGAGACGGGGCTGGTCTCTGTCATTCCGTAACATATTGTGAGCTCGGTGAGATTTAGGACCTTGTGTAGTCTTTTCATCAACTCTGCGGGTATGCTACTTCCGGCTGCGATGCCCGTACGTAGGTACTGGAAGCCTTCGTTGGGGATTACCCCTTCGTCCAGAAGACTGAGCTCTTCGATAAACATTGTCGGTACGCCGTAAAGTGCAGTGCACTTTTCTTCTTGCACGGTTCGGAGGGCTGCTTTGGCGTTGAAGGCTTCTGTTGGGAATGCGATGGCTGCACCGTGGGTGGCGGTGGCCATATATCCTAGTACAGATCCGAAGCAGTGGAATAATGGGGGCGGACAGCATACAACGTCCTCTGGGGTGAGGCGCATTCTGTCGCCGATTTGGGAGCCGTTGTTGAGAATGGATCGATGGCTTAGACATGCTGCTTTGGGCATTGCGGTCGTTCCGGATGTGAATTGGATGTTGACTATGTCTGTTGGGGATAAGTTGCGAGGTGGTAGGGCGCTTTTGTCGGGTGTTGCGTCAGAGGTGAGTGATTTGTAGGCTGTTAAGCAGTTGAAGTCGGAGGTGTTGACGCGACCGGATGAGTTGTCGACTGAGATAATGTTCTTCAGTGAGGGAACTAACTCTGACTCGATGCGGGTCTTGGAGAGGTCCGGAATCAGGTGTTGAAGGAGTGGGATATTGCTTCTTGGGTCCTTTCGGGGGAGATTTGACTCGGTGCTAATGATCAGATGGCTTGCTTCTAGATGCGCCAGGGCGGAGACTACTTGAGTCACGTTGAATGATGGGTTGAGTGGAACCTAATGCTGTATAAGCCTTGATCTGATGGCATACAAGCGTTTTACCTACCAGGATCGCACCCAGCTTGAACAGTGCATAGGTTGCCTGCGAATAATCTGGTTATCACAAGGTATCTGAGAAAGACTTTCACGGGCTAGCAGCATACCACAGCATGTTCCATGGAGTTCCCTAGCATGACGCCCACACGGTCTCCGGTCTGGACACCGACAGATTCAAGACCACGCGCAAGGGCATTGCTTCTGGCGTCAAGGGAAGAATATGTCGCTCGATCATTTTGTTGTTTGCAGATGACACTTATCACTGTCAGAATACCGCTCCTCCAAAGCACAAGCTCGATGGAAGAGGTAGAGCGTACGCTGGTCTATCGCCATACTGGTTGACGATCTTTGCGAAGTGGTCTCCAATCACTGTATCTAACAGTGGAGGCTGATATATTGTCAATATATTGCATCGATACCACGTTGATAAAACATGGCATGGAGCATGCTTACGTCTGTAGGACCTCGAGAATAGCTTGTCGTTAACAGTCCACGTCTTCCCGGCAATGCTGCCAACTGGAGGGGCTTCCTCACAGAGCATCTTCTGTGAAAAAGCCCTCTACAGTTTACTGAAGCAACGCGCATCTGGTTCTGTGGCAAGGTATGTTCATAGCAGTCTACCCATACACAGGTGGAGATCGTGGTGTTCGTCACCAGGATGTACCTCCCCTTGCTTCTAGCTTCACCAAAAGCTGGGTCTAGATTGGCTCAACCAGGGATTGCCGGCGGATAGCTAAGAGCACGGACTGCGCTACGCGTGAAGAGTAGTGAACACGAGCTGAAATCTAGCCTTGACAATTGGCAGAATGAAGAATGAAGAGCTGAAGAGATGGAGTATTCAAAAGGCAGCTGGAGGAATGTGGCCGGGACTCACGTGTCCTGTAGATGCGGGGTTGATGCAGGCGGCTTGCCTATTTGAGACACTAGTACCTGCAGCTCAAATATTGCGGTAACACTCGATACTCAATTGGTTTGAGTACTTTAATCTAAACTCGGCATTTTTAAGACACTGATTACGAAAGCTCTATCAGGGATAAAATCAAAGATGTACATGTAGCTACTTTGTACTCTTGTTCCTCAGGCCGGAACTGTTCCGATTCCCGGGCGGGGAAATGAAGCTTACTAGGATGGATCTCCAGCTTAATTTAGGGCTTCCCTTCAATTGGTTCCTGGACTACTTTGGCCCGAGAATAACCGAAGCCACATTCACCCCCATTTGTCTATCTATCTATATTTTGTGCTATCAGATGTGTTGTTCTAAACTGAATAATGTAGTACTACTATTCAGGGTACTTTAGGCCATTCCACACTGATTGGTGAGTAATGCTTTTTCATTGTATCCGGACAGATACAAATGCATCCAACCCGACCCATATCAGGGCCCGCATCAAGATGACTTGTGCCTTAGACTGCAGCAGTCGCCTCCCTTGCAGCCTGCACCCCCCTTGGTAACCGACTCTTCCCTCCCGGTCTCTTCCCAGTCACCGATCTACTCCCATTCATTCTCTTGCATAAGTCAAGATGGATGAGGTTCTCGCGCACGAGCGAGCTGATCGTGATCACAAGTTGGCTAGGATTGAAGAGTTGATCAAGCAAACTCCTAGCCAGCATGTTGAACCCTCCGACCTGAAAGCAGCCGGTATCCGCCACCTACCCTTATCTCTTGATGGGGATAGTGAACATCGCCCACGCTTCTTCCAACCATATCCAGAAGAATTGCCCCTCCCAGAGAACGAGGATGAGGAGAATCTTCTAGAATTTCCCCCCGATCCGAAGCATACCCTGTGGGATACTCGTGATATGGAGATCTTTTTTACCAACCATTTCAGCAATAGCTGGGAATATGCATCAGATGAGTATCCTAATAACCCTCCTCCCTCTGGCATATATCGAGAGTATGTCCCCTTTCAGCACCAATCTTACCTTTTTCCATGGTAAGCAATGTGTCTGACAATTCATAACAGAATTGGAGACTATAAATTCGGTCAACTGCTGGAGTCTGTCGGGTTCAACTGGTACGCCGTAACAGTGACTGAATATCCGGAAGAGAATTACCCACACTTCAAGGTTATGTTAGAAAGTGAAGCGATTGGGGATGATTGACTGCTCCGCGGAGAGATCATGGCTATCACTGATATCATGGCTGCTCGTCTGAGAACCAGGTCTCTACGATCGCATATGGTTGCCCCAGTATGCACTCAAATAGAACTTACGCTATGATAAACTAATTCGCATCGACAGATGCTGGTCATATCTCTTGTGGGCCCTCGCCATGCCCGCGTCCTGGAAGCCGATTTTGACGGAGAGATGCTCAACATCCGTGCTTCCAAGCTGTACGACTTTTCTTGCAAGAATACCGATTCTGCGCAATTGATCACGCGGTATTGGCTGGGCGGTGCTTGCGGCCAAACTACGATGGAAACAATGAAATCCAAGTAGAGAGGCTGGATTTGTTTAGGTACTGGCGCTGGACGCTACGTTATGATCAAATGGGTAATGAAATATGGTTCCTGGAGTACATGGTAAGGTTATATATATTATTTCAATTAGTATGGGTTAGCATCAATATTGCAAAGTGGATAACTTTTTCAGACCGTGTTGTTATATCAAACATCCTAGCACTTGTGTATATCGTAGCAATTGTAACTGCTAGCACTGGTCATGAAAACAGCACGGTTACTGATATCAATAGTACATCTCAACACCGTCCCCTACTGACACGCTGTAAACCTCCTTCAATATTAATATCTACCCAATACCCCAAATCAATACTACAAGAAACACTATGCTCCCTCACACCAAACAATTTCCTTCACCTCACTTCCCCGACAACTCCCTCAACGCCCTCATCGCAACCTCCTCCTTCCCCTCAGGAACAAAAACATGATCATGATAGAACCCACTAACCACATTCGCACTCACCCCAGCCTCCTTGAGCTTGGCGCTAATAGCAGCCATCAGCCCCACCGCCTCAAGACTAGAGTGCACGCTGATGGTAATCATGCGGCAGGGGAAAACATAGTTGGTGAAGCCGTGTGCTTCGGCACGTTCACGAGTCACAATGTACGTGGTGCCTTCTGCTTCCTGGAAGAGGAGTTGGGGTTGCAGGGTGTGGAGATCCGGAATTGCTTGCGAGATGCTGGTGTGGGGAATGGTGAGGAAGATGAAGATGTCCGGGTGGAGAATTGGTGAGAGGGAGGCGAGGAGGGTTTGGAGGTTGGATTCGCCTGGGGTTGGGGGCATTTTAATTTGGTTGAGATTGGGTTTGGGTTTGGAGTTTCAATTGGAGGTATTGAATTAGTTAGGGAGGTATATTGTGAGTTGATGAGATTGTTGGTTTGATGTAAGTAGACATTGGGTTTGGTGGTGGTGATGAGTTCATTTTAAAATAGGCTAAACTTTATTTGGAATAGAGAGTAGTTAGGTGCGAAAAGCAACGCTCTAAATGCACTTGTTATAGACAACATCTGAAGTGTATATAGCCCCTTTGATATAATTCATTGCATAAGGAGAAACATAATGCTTAGTGTCCTCTTCCTTCTCTTTCTTCCCTTTCTTCTTCTTCCTCCTCCTCGTCGACGAACACGTAAGAGGATCCTTCTGACCCTCTTGATGACGATTCTTCCGATGTTTCTTGTTGTTCTTCTGTTCCTTCTCCTTCCGATTCTTCTTCTCCTTTCTCTTTTTCTTTCCCTTTTCCTCCTCCTTCTTCTTCGTCATTGCAACTAGGGTAATCATTGTAGTCTTCGAGAATAGGAACCCAATCTTGATGTATTCTTTGTGCTGCTCTCTCTTCCTCTTCCCTATCCTTTCCTGTCCCATCTTTCGATGATGCTATCTTATCTTTATGCTTTCTCTCTGATGGCCCTTCTTCTGCTTCCAATGATGATTCTTCTTTTGACCCTTTCCTTGATGACGCTTTTGCTTCTTCGGGTTTCTTGTTTGGTGGCCTTTCTTCGACCTCTTCTTCTCCGGCCTCTTCTTCTTCGGACTCTTCTTCGTCGGTCTCTTCTTCGTCGGTCTCTTCTTCCTCAGTCTCTTCTTCGTCGGTTTCTTCTTCGTTGGTTTCTTCTGCTGCTGCTGCTGCTGCCTCTTCCTCATTAACCTCCTTGGCTAAACATTCTTCTTTATCTTTGTCCACTTCCTCTGCAACATTCTTAGATGCTTCAAGTTGCATATCCCTTTGCTTTCGCCGTTCCATCTCCCGTTCCCGTTGCCGTTTTTTCCTCCTCTCTTGCTGAGTGTAACACCCTTCCTCTCCACAAATACATGTTCGACCTTTCCAATATTCCCGGCCATAGTTAATCGTGAGTTCCTCAAAAGGTTGAATATCCCGCACGACCTCCACGGTCATCGTTGCCCGATTCCCAATTGTCCGCCGTTCAAAAGTTGTATTAGGCCTGCAGGAGTGGTTGATAAACCGAGTGAAATTCCCATATTCCATCGGGCAAATTACAGCAATCTCCTCATCTACGTCGACTTTACCCTGCATGGTAAGCGCATATATGGGGTCGCCTTTATAGCAAGGTGGATGGAGCTCGCCAACATATTCACCCAGAATATCTCCTTTCTCAAATCGCGCAAGAGCACGTACCCCGACACCCTTGGATGTTTCCACCAACTGCACGAATTCAAGGGGGGCCTGCTTGATTTGACATTCACAGATTTTCCCTTCGGCGCAGAGATCGCAAAGACCATAATTAAGGCCATCTCGCAGCGTTGGATCCTTTTTCAGCCCCCGATGCTCTGGATCCTTCGCCGTTTGCCAATCCCTGGGGTGAAAAATGCTAGCATCGATATGCTTCTGTAAGCGATCTTGGAATTTCGGTGAGCGAATTTGTCTCTCCCTTTCATTTATGACTATTTCATGAGGATGCGTATGTCTGAGATTATCCGCTGAAATTTTGGAAGCCAATACCTGGTTGAGCTCGGGTGGAGCAGCATCCCCCGCATATGGCGCCAACAATTTGCGCCATTCAAAACCACGCGTAGAAGCCTGAATCCAGATATTGAGATGGTGTCGCTGAAATTTCCCATATATGGCTTTCCACATTAATGTGCTTTCTTCCTTACATAGCCTTCGAAAGGCTTCCGCTTGTACACATATCGCAAGCATGGGCCAGCCGAAGTTCTCGGCGAAAATTCGTAGCCGGCTCGCTTCTCGCTCCTCGCAATCCATATTGGCCTCATTAAATGACCATATTGTGCAAGTAAGGGCCTTCTCTAAGGCCCGTGATGCGTAAATACACCGCGTCTTGTAGTCCAATTTTGCCACCCTGCTTTTTTCACTTTCGTTGTGTATTTTGTTGACCTCATATAAGTCGTACATGAACGCATGCAGGATCTGGTCTCTATCCTGTATAGATGCTGGGGATAATGGGCGGGGCTGGAAGGTGCCCATCTTAAGTCGTTTGCTAGGAGTATTGCCTGCATCTTCTCCTTCTTGTCGCCGCTTTGTCTGGGATCCTGATGGTTGCGCTGGGGCGGGCAAACTCGTATTGGGTCGATTTCTGGAAGAGCTTTCCGTGTCTTCTCCTCCTTTCTGCCTCTGCTCCTCCTGGGATTGTAGTGGTTGTGATGGAGTGCGGGGAGTCGTATTGCCCCGCTTAATAGGAGAGCTGTCTTCCTCTCCTCCTTCCTGCCTCTGCTCCTCCTGAAATTGTAGTGGCTGGGATGGAGTGTGGAGAGTCGTATTGCCCCGTTTACTTGGAGAGCTGTCTGCCTCTCCTCCTTCTTGCCCCTGCTCCTCCTGGGATTGTAGTGGTTGTGATGGAGTGTCTGGAGTTGTATTGGGTCTTCCCTCTTGTCCCTGCCCTTCCTGGGATTTTGATGTCTCTGATGGAGTAGGGGGAATTGTCTCAGACTGTTTGCTAGGAGAGATGTCTTCGTCTTCTCCTTCTTGTCCCCGCTGTGTCTCGGAGCGCAATGTTCGGGATGGAGCGGGAGAACTCCTTTTGGGCCGCTTGCTAGGAGAACTGTCTGCGTCTCCTCCTTCCTCTTGCCTCCGCTTCCTCAGAGTTCGTGTTCGTGAACTGGAGGTATCTTTCGGACCGTTGTCCGAGACTCTTTTCGCAGCCATAGATCAGGTAGTTGTGGTATGATTAGAATGAATTGGTGGAATGGGCAGTGACGTCTTTGAGGCTTCTCGGTCTGATTTGGGTAGCTACAGGCTCTGCCTGTACTGGGTTGGCTAAGTTTCGGGGGTTTAAGTATTCGGAAGCTGCCATCATGAAAACGGGCCTCTTCCGGTAACCTGCGGTGTAACATAATGAGCGTTTGTATACCTTCGGCACAAAGCATCTGTTCAGGACTGCTTTGTATTGCCCATATTTAGATCATCATGGGGAAATATCACTCGGTTCCATGGAAAGGTAGCATGCTGTGTCGGAGACTATTGTTCCTCATATAGTCTTATCAACGGATTATTTCAGGCGAAAGAGTCAAAGACTGGAGATAAAAACATAGACTTATAGCATTGGGATCTGAAACCTATAAAGATCCTATCGGGTAGATATACTTCTCGGAATAATGAGATGGGGGGACTCTTTGTTGTTGGGGGTCAAATTCATGCGTCGTTCTTTGTTGGTGTTTCCATGGATGTTGGTAGATAATGAGGAGGATGAGATATCTGCTTGGTTCTTTATTATTTACTATTTTTGGATACTCAAACGGCTGTTGGTAGCAGGATTGCTCCATGTTTAAATTCGACTGTTTATCTTCTTGTCAGTAAAATCGCATAGAGATATGAAGGTCATAAAGTTCAAGCTTCGGAATGGTTATTGGTAGTCATTGTTGAAACATTCTTGTTCCCCATTATGCTCCAGGCGGCCAGTGAGATATGTCTTTGGCCTACTGACAGGATCTCTGTCGGCAGCACTCCTGCCTACTATGTTAGTGACAACAGTCTAGTACAGTCATTCGTCAATTCATTTTCGTCAGTAGGGGAATATGGTGAGTCTATTTAGAACAAGTGGACCATGTATTGAAGCAGCAGACTTGTAGTGGCCTGGATGCAGTGCTCTCTCCGTTTATTGGACATCTTAGTTAGATGAAAGGAATCTTATATTGACTACCATATGTGATCATGTTCATTTATTCCAGGCTTATCACTATAAATAACGTTGTCATGTGACTGACTGTCCTTGCGGAGCCAGTGCGGGACAGTTTGGGCACCCCGGATGACGAAAGTCTGCAGGATGATGATAGCCATAGGGTTACTACTAGTTTCTGCACAATAGTAAGCAACCAAACCTCGGCTTTGAAATTCAAAGAATCGAACGAATTATATGAAGCAACGAATGCCCACACAAGCGGTGTGAAGTGAAGCATAGCCATTTGAAACCCAAAGGGGCAGTGCCAAAATCAGGCCGGAAGATCAATGATCCAGTCGCGGGGCGCGCGGGTTGTCGGGGTCCCAAAGCGGACTAGCGGCAGGCAGTCGGGGTCTCGAAAGGGGCATAGCGCCAGGCTGGGGCAGATGAGCCTCGTTCAGGCCATTGTATGTAAGCCTTGTACCACCGCCGGTCCATCCTTCGATTTCCTTCACTCCTTTTTGTCTGCCTGATTCTTCATCATCTCCAGGGACACTCCTGAGGGTTACCTCCTTTCGTTGTTTGCCTCTCTTCATCTTTGAAGGCTTTGCCAAGTGCCGGGTTCGACGTGACTCACCCCGTCGGAAAGGTTTCTCCTCCGTCTTTCCTTATCAGGCAATAATCTCAAGGCCGGCTTTTTCCCCCCCGTCCTTCCGGTCATCCTGAATTCCCGGGCATCAACTCTCCCTCAAAGCCTCGTCTCTCCTTCGATCATGGCTGCCGACCAGTTGCTCCAGTCTATCGCTCATTCCACTCCCGGTGAAGAGTGGTTTGACTTTGACAACTCCTTCGACATCCCCAACGGAGGTGTGGGAAGCAATCCCACTTCGGTGGATTCTGTCTCCCCAAAGGATTTGGATCTAACTTTTGCCGACTTTGATGACTGCAATTGGGGTCCGAGTCCTGGGGTCTGCACTCAGGAGCTATTCGCTGATCTGGTCAACTATGATGCGCCTATGGAGGGCTTTGGAGGACATGCATTGGACGCCTCGCCATCCATGCTGGACCCCGCCGGGTCCTTCCACCAGATGCCCGCATCTTCGGCTCCGGGGCTGATGGGGTCGGAGCTGACTGACCTATGGTCACAGGATATGGGCGGGGTTGACGACCCCTTCTACACCACTGTCCGACAGATGGTGGAGTTCCAAGCTGCTGCTGATCCAAGCGCCTTGTCTAGCAAAGAAAAGCGCATGGAGGCGTCTATTGCTCTTCACATGCAACGCCTCCAGGAAGCAGCAATGCAGGATCTGGAACTGTCGTCGGACTCGAGCACAACATTCCCATCCCCTCGCTGGTCCGACTCTGCAGCAAGCGTTTATCAGGGTGGGACATGTACCACCCCAGCTACCACACCTCTGCCCGATGTAACGCGCACACCAGTCTCGGGCTCTGAGTCTGCAGCTGGGGCCATGGAACTGGTGCTTGATCTTAACATGAACACAACCACGAACGTACCAAAGAAGCAAAAGCCTCGATCCCAAGCTCAGAAAGAAAACTACATCAAAGTTCGAAAGCATGGTGCTTGCGAGAAGCACAGGAAACAACACAAGCGGGTAAGTAAACCCCCAGAGCAGCCGGATATCGGTGTACTGATCCAAGTATAGTGCAACTGTCTCGAGAAGGCCGCCTCCCAAATTGCTGTCAGCCAAAAGGCTGTTTCTACCTGCAACATACCATTTAAGTCGACCTTCAGCACGCAACGACATGTTCACAGATCCGAACGAAAATCTCTTCTTGTGAGCACGACGCCGACACCAGCCAGTAAGTCAACTGTTTCACAGCCGACAGGAGGCTTGGGTTCAAAGGAGCTTCAATACGTTCAACTTCGGCATCGCCACCGTTTGCCATCCACTCCTACGTCGATGGATCCTCAATATGGACACCACTCGCCACACTCAGTCAAGTCAGCTGCAAGCTGTCGTGGCGACGTAGATCTCAATGGCGGTACAGGTCGTTCGACAACGTTCCGGGGCAGCTCGAAACAACAGCAATCACCAAGGTCACCTGGTTCCGACCGCAGGGTCGGCCTCGTCCATTCACTATCGAAGAGACTGCAGATCTGTTCGACATCAAGTCAGGCAGATCGGGGAGCGCTGGCTCTTCGCCATGCTCCGGACAGACAACAGGCAAGCCAGGCTGTCACAGCCCGCATGCATGTGTCAGTCCAGGCATCAATTCCACCCCGATCCAGTACAGCTGCCGTCAGCGGCGTTCTATGGAAGCCAGGCCCCTCGTCGGGTGCTGCTGCCACAGCAAGTGTGCAATCCAACCGCGGCACTGAGACCAGTGCCATATTCGAGAGACACGCCAGTTCCTGGCGCGTCAGATCTTCGGAATATCCATCGACACCCCACTCGTTGGCCGTACAAGCCAACGATGTCCACGACCAATTTGCGTCGCGGACAATTGTGTCAAGGGTACTTCAAAGCGTCTTTCCGGTCTCTCACTTCTTGGATTTATCTGTATGCTTCGCTTCTTGGTTGAGTACGTGCTTTGACAAAACCTGGAGCTTTTCCAGATTTGGCAAGCTCGTCATGATATCGACCAGACGGCATTGGCTCGCGGGGAAGGGATTTCGATGGGGTTGATTGAGATCTAAAACTTGCATAAGCGTGTTTTCTCTGTTTTATATGTATATTTACCAGTTATTTAGCGGTGTTAGTTCTGTCTTTGCTTGATACCATCGTCCATGCTAGAGCATGAGGTGAACAGTTAGGAATGGTCATTTCATACATTTCATACATTTTATTCCAATTGGTTTAACTTTTCTTGGTCTCATATTAAGCAGCTTACCAGCAGCATAACCAACCACATACTAACTGAATCTCGAACAGGACCCCTCAAGTAATCGGTAATCAGGAGTACGTAGTACTCAGGGACATCCCATACTGCGAATCCCGAGTCCACCGTCCCCACTGCTATACAATCCCCCCAACCAATCAACAGCCCTCCACCATCCGCGTTCCAGCGGGCCCCAAACCGAATGGATCCATCCATCAATCCATCCATTCATTCCATCTCCAGTTCTCATCTCACTCCCTCCATCCAAAAGAAACCATACCCAACCCTCTCCCCCATCTTCGAACCCAATGACCCCCTCCACCCCCACCGAATCGCATTGGCGATTCTCCACCGTAACAGGCTACTTCTACCAAAGCGAGCCCTCCACCGACCCCAATACCTTCAACTACGTACGTCCACCCCAAACCCCCCTATCTCAACCCAAAAATTAATATCATAGACCCAGGCATCCTCCAACTTCGGCCTCATCCCCCGCGCCTACCCCACAGACGCAGACCTAGGGCCCAACAGCAACAACCAAAAAACCACCTGGGAGCGCTTCGCTCACCACGTGCGCACCCTCAACGCCCAATCCACTGACCCTAATGTCCGTTACAAGGTACTCTTCCTCGGCCGCCACGGAGAGGGCTACCATAACGTAGCGGAGCGGGAGTACGGCACGGAGGAATGGGATGTAAGTGAACCAGTTATCTAGTCTCAACCCCCCCCCCCCCCCCTCTCTCTCTCCACCATAACCCTTCATCATTGATAATAATGAAATAAAAAAGAAACATTACTCCCTCCTCCCCGGCAACGGCACAAGCAACTGGGTCGACGCCCGTCTCACAGAAGTGGGCAAATCCCAAGCGCAAACCGCGCACAATACCTGGAAACAGCAACTCAAGGAACATATCCCCCCTCCGGAGAAATTCTACGTTAGTCCGTTGAATAGATGTCTTGAGACGGCGTGGATTACTTTCGTTGGGACGGGGATGGAGGGTACGGAGCCGTTTAGGCCGGTTGTTAAGGAGGTATTTATATCAATCTATCTATCTACCCAGTTACCTTCTTTTGTCATGGACTAGTTAATGACTGGTGACAGCTCCTCCGCGAAACCATCGGCCAACACACCTGCGACGGCCGATCCAGCAAAACCGCCATAACGACTGAATACCCTACCTACATCATTGAAGAAGGCTTCGCCGAGAACGACGAGATGTATGATGCCGAGCTCCGGGAATCTGATTCCGCGCGGGACAAGCGCTTCCGTGATCTGATGCAGGATATCTTTTCCACGGATGAGGAGAAGGTGTTCTTGTCGTTGACGGCGCATTCCGGAGCGATTACGAGCCTTTTGAATGTTTTTGGGCATCGGAGGTTTTCGCCGCTTGAGACCGGCGGTGTTATTCCGGTTTTTGTTCGTGGGGAGAGAGTCCCGGGGCCGTTGCCGGTTATGGAGGTGGAGCCTTGGTTTGGGGTTCCTAAGTGATTTGTCTAGACATATCATAGTTTGTGTTGTGTGTGGATGCTATGCATGTATAGAGAGAAAGGAACTTGAGAAGTATATAGATGATTGATAGATATTGTATTGTACATTGATTCTTGGATCGAAGCAACCCTCATCATACACGCACGTTAAGATAGAGACACGGGGGGGAACGTAACCAAGAAAAAAGGGTTTTTAAAACACATGCTGAGAAAATCCACCAGAGAGGAATGAAGTGCTTCTTAACGGTCTAGGAATATTGAACAGAAAAAAACAACGCCGAAAACGTATAATCGAAACATTGATCACCAGCTGTAGAACTGGTTCTGTGCCGTAATCTTGCGGTCCGGCAGCGGCGTCCAGAGCTTAGCCTTACGCTTGCGCAGCTCCTCGGCCTCCCGGTTCTGCCATTGACGGATACGCGTCTGCTCCTCCTTCAGCACCACCGACAGAGAGGTGTACGGCGGACGCATGAGGTTGATGTTGCCACGCGCGCGGTGGTCGTAGTCGTAACCGTACGGGCCACGGTTAACCCACGCTTGGTCGATGTAAATGGAGGTAGGGTCGTTGATGGTCTTGCGCTCTCCGTTCTTGAGAGTGATGGTGACGGGCTTCTGGTTGGCGGTCTTGCCCTCGACGGCTCCCAGACCCATACCAGAACGCACCACGGCGACGTTCTTAGCATGCTCGAGGTGCTCGAGGACCTCCTTGGCGGCCTTCTTCTTGCTCAGACGCATCTGCAGCATGGCATCGTCGATGTTCTTGCCAGCGATTTGACGAGCAAGAGGACCCAGCTTCTTGACGGAGGTCTTGAACCAATGGGACTTGGAGAGGGACTCACGCTCCGTCCGCATGATCAGCTCGGTGGGCGAGATGCGGCCGCGACGACGGATCTCGCGAGCAACCATCTTTTGTTCCCAGCGCGTGCGCGCCTTGGGGTTCGGGTCCAGCACTGCCTGCATCGTCTCCCGGTTTCGTCGGTCAACGGCATAGTCGATCTCTTCCTGGCCCTCCTCGGTGGCGCCTGCTTGCTTGCGAGCAGCGGGCGTACGGCCGGAGGCCACCAGCTTGGGGCTGGCTTCATCCTCTGCAAAGATGGAGTCGGCGCTCAGGGAACCCTCGCGTTTGGCGGGAGCGGTGGTGCGGCGAGCTTTGGGCTTGGCGGCGCCGGGCTTGCCACCGAAGAAGAAGTTCTTGATCGAGGACAAGGTGGAGGGCTTCGATTCGGACTCGGACTTGTCATTGGGGCCATTGGGGCCGTCTTCGGAGGCTTGACGAGGAACAGTGTAGGCCAGTGTGCGGCGAGGGACGTAGGTCAGGCCGGTCCGGGCTGAAGAGACTGCAGGGAAGAGGTGAGGATGAGAGGGGCCACAATTGGGAGGAAAATAGGGTTATGTGTCTTGCGAGTACTTACTGGACCGGATCAGCTGCCCATACTGGGGGACAGCACCCATTGAGGCCATGACGGACGATGAATCTGGAGGTGATAGCACGGGGTCCGGAGATCAGAGGGAAAAAAGTGTCGGGATGAAGACTGGGCCTTGGCGGTGCGTCTCGGGTCTGTCCGGTCCGCCGGATGCTTCTGCCTCGACACCTGATATTTCCGGGGTCAAGATTCCAAGCCGCAAGGCAAGCACTAGTCTAATTCTGGAAGGGTCAGCCGCGGCTGGATCATGTGGCTTTGGCTGGAAAGGGAATCCCGGTCCTGCCAATCACGGCGTAAGACCATCTGTACAATGACCTCATACCCCGGAAGGGTGTGGTGGCCTCGGCCTAACCCGCTTTGCCCGTTCGGGTAGCAGCCGGCCAGGCCCTCCCATTGAGGTGTACTACATGCATCCATCCATGCCTGCTGAGAACAAAGTTTAGAATTGGCCATGCATCCTTCAGGGCTCGGATCGCGCCTGAGTGTCTGGGTCCTCCAGCCACTGACCATTTATAGTTACCCGTCTCCCGAGCTAAATCACTGGCCGGTTACACAGCACGAAAGATCGATCAAAGTCGAGATTCCCTGCTTTTGCAGATAAGAACCCAGCCGCAAAGCTGCTGGGACATGCAGACTGCTGGAACTAGTATCACTTGACATGGTTCATGGTCTATCAACTCGGTGGTAATCCCCCTGTTCTCTCGATGCATATCTGGTGGTTGATGTCCGTCAACTTACCTCCCATATAAGCAGCATTATTCATTGCTGCCTGTCTCTGTTATCTCAAAGCTAGAAAGCCTTACACAACAACTAGCTTCTATGGCTCAGTTGGTAGAGCGCATGACTAGTAATCATGAGGTCCGCGGTTCGAATCCGCGTGGAAGCATTTTTTGCCCTTTCGCTTTTTGCCCTATCACTTGTCTCTAGCCCGTCTTTGGACGCTGGTACCGAAGATAAAGGGACAATCTTGCCGGTTGAAGTACATTAAGTGATCACTGGTCGGCTGCCATGGAAAGTGAGCCGCAAATATCCAAGATATTCCAGGTCTTGTGATCAACCAGCAATGAGCTTTTATGCCAGTTGTAAGATTGGGTATAGGAATTGAGTTGGAGATCCATGGATCTCTTGGATACTTTGTTCTTATTTGGGGCCCATTTGCCCACCCCCTGCCGTTCGGGCTTTTCATGACTTTGTATAGGGTGTTTCTGATTGTTGGCACTCGGCAGAGCTTGGTGCGGATAGACACCGTGCGCCAGCCTCGAATGGTAGACAATGAGCCTTTGATACTTCTCTTTTCTATTCGAGGCCTCGAGATGGAGCATTGTCTCGGTGACTCTCTTGTATGTCTCGATAATTGATCACTGCCATAGGTCTTACTTTCGGTCATCTCTATATATTAGCGGCGCCGAGCTATTTCCGTAATGGTGGGCAGCGGATGGTTATACGGCAGGTGCTAGGGAGGTGGCGCTGGACCAATTGGCGATACAAATTGGGATATTTGAGCTAGATAATGGGCTTCGTGGTTGGTTAATCACCGTGTATGAGTCAGTGTCAACGCGGGGTAATTGGCTCGAGGAAAACCTGCTGTGTATGCTCGAGCTCGTCCAAGCAAGGGTGCTATCCGAGCAGTGGGTGGGGAAGTGCGAGGTTAGATTAGGATTGCAGAATGTGGCTGGCTGTGCTCCCTGTACGTGTGTGGGGGTAATGGCTGCGAGAATCTGAGGGTAGAGGTGCTGTATGGAAGGTTGGTTTGGGATGGGCATACACATGGCGTGGGTACTGCTGCGTCGCACGATATTGGCGGGGTTCTTGTTCTTCATAGTAATGGTGAATACCGATCGTGAAGTATCATATTGAGGGGAGTGGGGGCAATGGTTTCGGTGAGGTTTCCATGGACTCCTGTTAGGGGTGCTTTCCTGCTGAACTGTCGGCAACATATCCTGCAGGAAGGTGTCTCCGTTGGTGGTCTAATGCTACCGCCGGTGTTCTTTGATACCTCACCTTCCACGGGTGCCTATTGTGTGACACATGCTAAGTGACCTCTCTCGTACGTTCGCATGGTAGCAGCGGAGACACCGATCGTGCATTGACTATTACTGCTTCAGTGATACTGTTTTCTAATTCTGTTCTCGGCTAGGCTCCTGTGGCATGCTGACGGTGTGGGTATGATCCTCTGCTGGCATTGTAGGTTTTGTATAGAGTGGATGGGTTTTCGGGGTTTGCGTTGTGATGGGCGCGGTGGTGGCCTCGGCTGGTATCTGTTGGCTTCAATCTCATCAAATAACACGTTGTGGTAGTTGCTATAGGTGATACTGGTCTTATTAGTTGGCCTATATGGGTGGTCAACATCCTGATGGCGCGGTGTCCATGGCGATAGTATATATAGTGTGCACGGAAAGCTGGCGAATGTAGCGGCAAAACATCTACAAGATTGACAAGCTGTAGGCTAGAAAATATAGACGGTATGATGGGTAGAAAGGGAATAAGAGCTCTTGCAGCACTACTCAATATGCTTAAACGTGTCTCAAGAGGTGTTTGCATAGTAGTAATGATAGCAATAATAACGTATCTTTCTGGAAGGCGCGGACCGTCCAATTCCAAGGGCAGCGGGTGTTTAGCATAGGAACAAGTAGCATAAGATGCAAGTCATTCATATCAACCAGCTTCTATGGCTCAGTTGGTAGAGCGCATGACTAGTAATCATGAGGTCCGCGGTTCGAATCCGCGTGGAAGCAATTTTTTGCCTTATGCAGTACCTTCGAATATGCGCTTTATAGCTTGGGATATAAGCAAGCATATCAACCAATCAGCTTCTATGGCTCAGTTGGTAGAGCGCATGACTAGTAATCATGAGGTCCGCGGTTCGAATCCGCGTGGAAGCATTTTTTGCTCTTTCGTCATTCCGTGACATCGTCAAGCCTCCACAGCCCGCAGAACCAATCAAACGGTGGGATTGTTGGCCGAGCGCATCACTAGTCAAGATGAAATCCTCGGGTCGAGTCCGAGTGTGAGCCTGCATCGCTAGCGTTGTAGAGGTGTAGGGGGGTTGTTGAGCCGGGGCAGTAGATAGGTAACAAGCAACTCATCTATGACTGACTCTCTGGGAAGGTTGTAAACAACCCTCGTCACATTCTTTCCTTTTCTCAGCTTCACATGTACACAGCACAGTTAGTAGCTAGTCATTGGGGAAGAACAAATAATAGTAGAGTAGGGGTAGGATATAACTAAGGAGAAACACCGAGGTCGTTGGCGGGGAAAAAGCAGGAACCTCCCCTCCCCGTGCACCCTTTTCTTTTTCATCATGACGATGACGATATTCCAGGCACTTGCATGGGTGGTTAGCAGCTAACTAGCTGGATCGTCACAGCTCTGGATCGTTTCAGATGGTGGGTGAGAGTATTTCTCTTATTTTCTTTTTTTTGTCTGCTAGTATTGTTATTTCTTCAAGTCCGAAGTGGAGGGTAGCTAGGTAAGTAGGTAGATAGATAGAGAGATGATATAGGGTGTAGTTGTCTTTCTGGTGATTGATTGATTGATTGTTAGTTAGCTAGTTAATATTAATTATCTGAACCATTACCCTCTCTGCTGTCTGCTCAGCTTTCCTCATGCCGAGCTCAACTCCCATCTCCACCGCGTCGATCCACTGCTCTCTTCTCATCGGCCTCACATATTCCTTTCCTCACTCTGGTCTTTTCCGTTCTCCTCCCTCCCTCCCTCCCTTTTCTTCCCTCTTTTTTCCATCCTCTGCCATCCAGGGACTTCCCGTGCGTGTTTGTTCCCACGTTTCCTTTTTTCTTTTTGCCCTGTATGCTTCAGCCTTCCTGCCCCCCCATCGACCCATTTTCTCCTCCCTTCCCCCCATCCGTTCCCGCCGAGAACTTCTCCGCTGACCAGCCCGTCCAGGTTCGCTATCGCTCGGACCAGGAGAGCTTAAGCCTTAAGCCTTGAGAGTCCGTCGGTCCCTCCACGCAGAAGTGTCTCGTTCTCGTTCTCCCTCCGTCCGCGCCTCACTTTAGCAGCGTTTCGCAAGCGCCCAACTCGTCAAGCTCTCTTCTACCTGCAGAGAACTACCAAAAGGGCCGGAAACCAGCAAAATAGAAAATAACATACAACAAGATCAAGAGAAACGAAAGAGGAAATAACTAACTAACTAACAACAACAATAATTCACCACATCTCGTCAATTGTTTAGTTTTTTCTCTTTTTATTTTCCTTAGATCCACACCTTTTTTTTTCCTTTTCTGATTTTCTTTTCTTTTTCCTTCTTCTTCTTCTCTTCTTCTCAGAATCTCTTTTCCACTTGTCATACTTTTCTCACTTCCAGACTTTTTATTGTCTTTGTTTTCCTTCGGGACTAATTCCCTTTCCACTCCATCATTTCTACTGTCAAACTCCGGCCACCCCTCCACCTCTCAGGACCAGGACAAGGACAAGGAACGGCCAAATCCTGGACAGTTAACCTTCGCCCGGTCATAAGGTCTGGACAAGACAGGCTGTTGAACCGGTGCAGGAATGGACTCGTTGATGAGGCGTCTTGCGGTGGTTCTTTTAATCTAGGTTTTCCTTATTTTCTTGCCTTTATTTACTTGACATCCTTTCCTTTTACCCTTTGATTCTCTGCCTGAGGTCCTTAAACTTCCCTTCGGCTCTGCTACTTACGTCAGCACCAGTCTCGCTGGCGCTTTGACTCTTTCCTCTATCCATCAGCTTTGGCATTTGCCGTTCCCTGGTCCTTCTTCCCTCCCCCGCCAGTCCGGCCACCAGTCTTGATGATGGACATCAATTCACTCCTTTCGCCCCAGGATGCCAATTCACAGTCCGGGCGCTCAACCCCCTCTGCGGGTTCTTCCTCCGTCCCCAATAATTCCTCTTCCTCTGCCCCGACCTCTGCTCCTCATCCGAAGCCCTTGCGAAAGAGTCGCCCCGGCTCGACCAAGCAAGGCATGACTTCCTCGCCGCTTGCGCAGCATGTCTATGCCCCATCCCACCTGCCTGAACCTTCGCCGCCCGCCATAAGTCCCAAGGTCGGTCCTAGCGTGGGAGGTGGGAATGGTACTCCCCCAGCGGCTGACCTCCCTCCCCCAAGACAACCGTCTACCCCCGGCATGGACACCCTGGCCGACCTGGCGTCAATGCAGCATCATCAACCGCCGCGATCCAATGCCCCTATCCTGCGCAGCACCGAGGCGTACGAGCACCAGCTGTCCCCTTCCACCATGTACCCCCACGTCAACCCAATCTCTCACAACACTCCTACCCCGCGCTCCTCGTTTGATATCGCAATGTCGGATGGTCCGCGCGAAAGCGCCCGTCGAAGCTATATGGATACCTCCTTGGTCCCCAACGCCCAGCGACAGGCGACGGAACTGTTCGCTCAGATTCAGGAAAACCCTCAGTCCTACGACGCGCATGTTCGCTTCGTTCGCCTTTTGCACGCTGGCTTCGTCAACCACGTTTACCCTCCGAATAACCCCGATATCCATGGCGACCCCCGGAAGTACGATCTGCTCAAAGACATGCGGACGGCTCGAGAGGAGATGGACAAATTGTTCGCCATGGGTGAAGATCTCTGGGCGGAGTGGATACAGGATGAAAGCATGCTGGCACAATCGGTGGAAGAGCGCATCGCAGTGATGGAGCTCTGTCAGCGTTCGATCGAGGAAGAATACGGTAGCACCAAGCTGTGGGGCATCTACGGCGAGTGGCTCCTGTATCTCTACAACTCGGCCAACGGCGACGCCAGTCAAAGCCAGTGGACCGAGGAAGACCGCATGGTCGGTCGCGAAGTCTTTTCTTGGCAGTCCGTCCTCGACGTGTGGCAACGAGGTGCCGAATCTACGCGGTGGAGAATCCACGACAGCCATCTGGTCTGGGATCGATTTCTTGACTTGCTCGTGCAAGATCTCTCTCGCAACCCATCACAGGACAAGATCAACCATGTGAGAGGGTTTTTCGACCTCCGCCTCGCGACTCCCCATGCCACCTGGGATCAGACCTTCCAGTTATTTTCCGGGTTCATCTCGACGTATTACAACGCAAACTACGAGAATATCATGGCAGAAATGGCCGGGAAATATTCTACGGCAAGCAAGGAGACGTACTCCGCCCGCGAAGACTTCGAGATCCGGTTGCGCAACGCGGCCGAGGCGGGCGACATGGGACAGGAATGGGTTGTGTTCACCGAATATCTCGAATGGGAGCTCAATCGCAACCGTCGCAAGCGGCACACAAATTTCGACCTAGTTAATGCAGTATACCAGCGCGCCGTGCTGCGCTTTCCGACCGATGCGAACATGTGGGAAGATTTCATCATGTTCCTGATCGACGAATCCATGCACGGTAATACGAATACCACGACGATTTCCACACTCGACCGTGCGACCCGGCACTGCCCCTGCTCCGGCAGCCTCTGGTCACAGTACCTGCTCAGTTCCGAGCGGGAAGGCCAGTCGTTTTCCAAGATCGCGGATATCAAGCACAAGGCCACCAGTACGGGTCTGCTGGACGCGGGCGGCATGGAGGAAGTGCTCAAAGTGCATACAGCGTGGTGTAGCTACCTTCGTCGACGGGCTTTCCTGTCCGATTCCACCGATGAAGACATTGACGTGGCAGAAGTTGGTATCCGGTCTGCTATCGAAAGCGTCCAGGAACTGGGCGAGAAGAAATATGGCCGCAACTACCAGGGCGACCCATTGTTCCGGTTGGAGCGCATCTATATTCGTTATCTCAGCGAGAGTGGCAGTTGGGACAGCGCGCGGGAGACTTTCAAGGGTCTCGTGGGACGTCGTGGCAATAGCTACGAGTTCTGGCTGACTTACTATGAGTGGGAGCTGATCTCCTGGAGTAAGTTTGTTCAAAACGAGACTACGATTGATGCCGCCCGGCGCACTCCGAACCCCAGCTACGCCACTGCAGTGCTGAAGCAGGCGATCAAGCGAACCGACCTAGATTGGCCCGAGAAGATCATGCAGACCTACATTGCGCACTGCGAGGACTACGAGGACTCGGATGAGCTGCAGCTGGCGATTTTGGAGACGCGCAAAGCGATGAGAGCCGTGACTGCCCGCCGCGAGCGCGACGCAAGGGAGCTGGCCGCGCGGCAGGCTGAACAAGCTGCCGTGGTGGAACAAGCCACCCCGCAGGCGGAAAAGCGCAAACGGGAGGAGGAGACGGGCCTGAACGGACTCCCTGCCAAAAGAGCTCGTGCAGAGGAGGCCGAAGTATCGGCTCCCGTGGCCGCCGAGCCGGTCGCTCTTCGTCGTGATCGTGAGAATGCCACGATCGTCGTTAAGAATCTGCCCCATGGCATCACCGAACACAAAGTCCGGCAGTTCTTCCGCCATGTGAGTTGCCCCTTACTGAGTGCGTTGAGATTGTAGTAGCTAACTGAGTTATAGTGTGGTACGATAAATAGTGCTAAATTGCTGTCCAGTGATGACGGCAAGTCCGAGACAGCCATTATTGAGTTCAACTCCAAAGATGAGGCCGTTGTCGCGCAGACGCGTGATCAGAAGATCATTGATGAGCATACGATTGAGGTTCAGTTTGGATCGGGTTCTACGGTGTTTGTGACCAACTTCCCAGCGACAGCTGATGAACAATACATTCGCGACCTGTTCCGTGAGGTGACTTCCCCCCGGTATTTCACTGATCCAAACGTTGGCTAACCGACTCTGTAGCACGGCGAGATTATCGATATCCGCTTCCCGTCCCTCAAGTATAACACGCACCGGCGGTTCTGCTACGTGCAGTTCAAGACGGCCGGAGAGGCTTATAGCGCCACGCAGTTAGACGGGGCGACGGTGGGCAATGGCCTGCACCTGGTTGCCAAGATCTCGGACCCGACTCGCCGGCAGGACCGCCAGGGCCCCATGTACGAGGGACGCGAGATTCATGTGTCAAACCTCGACTGGAAAGCCAGTGAGCAGGACGTGGAGGAGCTATTTCTACGGTTTGGAACTGTGGAGCTGGTGCGCATCCCGCGCAAGGTGGACGGCGGCAGCAAGGGCTTCTGCTACGTGGTCTTCTCGTCTAAGGTAGGTGTTCCGGAGGATGCGCAAATGCGCGAGACTTTTTTTAGCTAATGCATCTTGCAGGAGGAAGCCGAGGCGTCGTTAGTGATGCACGAGCAGCAGTTCCGCTCGCGCCCGCTTCATGTGAAGCTGTCCACCCCGCAAGGGGCCAAACGAAGCGCGACAACCATTTTGTCTCGCGTTGGGACCCGGTCCCCATCGGTCGAGGTCAACGGGGCCAGGCGTGAGGCGAGCGAGGAGGTGCCAAACAGTGAACGGCAAGCACGCACGCTGGGCCTGATGAATGTCCCGGACACGGTGAATGATGCGCGGATCCGAGCACTCGTCGAGCCATATGGCAAGCTGATCAAGATTGTACTGCGGCCTGATCACCAGGGAGCGATTGTTGAGTTTGCGGACGTACATGAAGCCGGCAAAGCGTCCCTGGAGTTGGAAGGGCAGGAAATTACCCCCGGGCGCAAACTGCACATTGGCACGGTACCGGAGATGATGAAGCAATCGGCGGAGAAGAAGAGCAGCAACGGACCCAGCCAAGGTAGCAGTGGCAGCAGCAAGGCCAAAGATAAGCCCAGTGGACTCTTCCCCGTCGCGAAGCCGATCAAGCGCCCGCCACAGCCAGGCGCGCGCGGCGGCAAGCGCGGCGGGCTGGGAGTGAAACGGGCGACGGCGACGAGCACGGCGAACGGGCAGACGACGACCACGACGACCACGAAGACGACGATGACGACCGACAGCGCCGCCCCGAGCGAGGGGCAGAGCACGAAAAAGAGCAATGAAGACTTCCGAGCGATGATCCAGCGGAGTCGAGCGGGTTGAGGGAGAGCGCGGCGCACAGGATGGCATGGCGGGAACCGGCGTTACCTCTCCGCTTGCTAATGACGACTACTACTACTCTGACTACTCTTGCTAAACTTTGCTAAGATTTCGACATGGCGTGATGTGAATTTGACCTTCTACCGGCCAGTGCTGATGTTGAGAAGTTCTTGCTGATGGGTTTGCATTTGCCGCTTTGTGTATTATCATATAGCCTTAACCCTGCCGCCGGCTGAAGTTGAATGTAGATTATTATTCCCTTTATTGTTATTGCTTCCTTGTGAATGATACCATTGTAGACGTGGGTAACTTTTAGTACTGTAAGGTATTTCCGAATACCATGTAGTATAGATCGATAGGAATTATCCTATAGTAAGGCTATTCCGAGAATCCTGGCAGATGGGAGCAGCACGTGGACCGACCAGGTTGTGAAGGGAGCAAGCAAGTCAACCGGTCGGGGAGTTGCAGGAATTCCTTAGGAGGAGAGAGAGATCAGTTGATGTTACTTGCTACTAGTTACTAGTTCATAGTTAACTAACTAATGAGAGATAACCATAGGTCAATGTGACCCGCAGCAACACTGATGAAGACTCAATTCCCGTAAACAAGCTCTCTGGTGACCCCGGTGGAAGGCCGAGCCCCTTGCTTCCGAAGTTGGCATGATTAATACCTATCTAACATAACTAGTAGTAAAGAGCAAAGAAGCCGGGCAGCAGCTGCAGTGCAACGTTCGGGAACCGGTTGGTAGACACTCTCTTCAAAGCAGTTCAAAGCAGTCCATCCCCGCCATGGGAGGAGGGCGCTTTGACCGAAAGGATCGACGGTCACTCGGTGGTAGGAATGTTTTATTCGTCTGTTGACCCGCTGATGGCTGAGGGAATTACCGGTGGAGAATGGTGATGGACTGAAGTATCATGCCAGATGGAGGGTTCACTCACTCACTAACTATTATCCTCCCTCCCTTTCCTCATTCAAACATGCGAACCATGAGGACATGACCTGGTCAGTCTTGTCATACATTACTATTTCTCCCTTCCCCTCTCCTTCTTCTCGGTCCTTTTCACGATGCTGAGGTATTTCTTATGAAGGGGGATATCCTCGAGGTCGAGATAGAAGCTGTTTTTTTCTCTTTCACTTGATGATGATGATGATAATACTGAATGGACTGATTTGATGCTTTCGGGGATAAGCTCCCGAGCGCAACTGTCACTGTCACCACCTGACCAGCAGCCCTGCTTGTTTCTGCCTTCAATCCGGCTTTTTAGACCACCTCTTTTTCTCCTCTTCTCCTCTTGATTCCCCTGGTTCTTTTCTTCTTCTTCTTCTTCTTTCTTCTCTTTATCCCGGTCGGGATTCTCATTTCTTCCCCTCTATATAGTTATCCACTTTATTCATTCTTTTTCTCCCTTCTTCCCCCCCCCCCTTGGTTCCTCTTTCACCGCCCCCCCAATCTACTCGCCTGCACGGGCTCTGCTGCTTGTTGTCGTCATCATCGCTACTGATCGCTCGCTTCCCCCGCCGTGATGGATTTCCATCTGGTGCCTCGAGGGGAAGACCGTAATTATACCGGGTTCCTCACCAAAACCATTGTCTATACCGCCTCGTTGATTGTATTTCTGGCCTGTAAGTCATGTGGCGCTCGTCCGATTCGCTGGCTATGGAGCTAGCAACTAGTAGCTCGAGCTCTCCTGCCATCGATGCAATTCGCGTACGCGCACACGACACAACTAACAAGTCTCTCCACACAGCCTTTGGTCTCACCGTGGCCTCTATCGTCGTTCCAAAATGGGTCACCTATACGGATAAAGATGTTGGTTTTGCCGTCCCTTTCCAACTGTGCCCGACCAGCCACTAACAAGAATCACCACTATCCAGCCCCAATGGCGTTACACCTACGGCCTTCACCGTCGCTGCTCCCATGTAACCGGTCAATGCGAGACTTTCCCCCAGAATGATGAATGCCACGGCGACAACCGCTACTTCTGCTCCATGTGGCGCTCCGTCGGGTTTCTGATGTCGTTTGCCATCGTGTTGGAGGGAATGACCGTGGTCGCGTATTTGATTGTCTTGTCTGGGGGGAAGCGTCTGCGCGAGTCGGGGTGGAAGATTGTCAGTTTGTTGATTATTCTGTCGGCGGCGGTGCAGGCTGCTAGCATGTCGCTTGTGGTGAGTTCCCCGGTGATGATGTGATTTGATTGGTGGCATGCTAACAAGGGTTAGGCATATCTCGTCGATAATGAAGACCGGTTTGCCAGTGGATGGGTCTTGGATGAGTCGTGGATCTTCTGCACCGTGAGTTGGTGTGTGAGTCTGTTTGTCGCCGGGGTGTTGATCCTGGCGGGTACTACGCTGCCGTCGGAGGGTGGTTATGAGTTGATCCCGGATCAGATCAACTGATTGAGCTTGAGCTCATGGAAGTAAAGGATGGATGCAACAATATAATGAGGGATATGATTTGATTGGTAATGAGTGGCGTTGGTGGATGATTGCAGTATGCTTTTCAGCCTGATGTTATTGTTATTGGTATTTGAAAATGGTGTAGTTAGCTGGTATAGTTAACGTGATATAACTAAGAGAATATGATACTATGTCTATTACAGGTCTCCATTCATCGCCTTCTCCCTTCTGTCACCTACCCACCTTCTATTTTGGTTTCAGATACTGTTGCAGAGAGTCAGAGCCATCAAGGTAGCTATGCATGCTTTAGTATCACATATGCCCGCATTGCTTCTCGCTGGCCTACTGGTATATAATTATCCGCATCGATGGTCTAGAACTTGTGTTGTACGAGATATTAGATTGATGGGTGTGGTGTACATGTGCTTGTGTAACTGTTTGCTGTTGCCTTTGGCTATTATCAGTGTGGTGATTAGGAGGTTGTGTAGTGATCAACCTTATACTCCATAGTTATGGAGATGTAGGCACTTTTACTCTACATTACTTCTCTTGTTACGCACACTTACTGTACCATTTTCATACATTACCTTAAATCATAACAACAGTCAATCATCAGCTGACCCAACCCAGATAGATAGTAACTAGTAACTAGTAACAGAGATAACCCCCGCCCACCGATAAGCCGATAAGTAACTCGAGTCCCTGCATATAAATAGCCCATGCACCACTTGACACCGACCCCACCTATTTTCCTTCCCCCACACCAACCAACTAACCAACATCCTCACATTTCACACACTCACCTCACCACCAAACAACCACCACAACCACCACAACCATGCCCGGCCTAACCCCCGACCAACTCTCCACCTTCAACACCACCGGCTACCTCATAATCCCAGACTACCTCACCCCCGCCGAAATCTCCGCCTGCCTAACCGAAACCAACCACCTCCTGACAACCTTCCCACTAGACACCCACCCCCTCACCCAATTCACCACCGGCGACACCTCACCCACAGACAAACACGTCGGCGACACCTACTTCCTCGAAAGCGGAGACAAAGTCCGCTTCTTCTTCGAACCCTCCGCCATCAACCCAGCCACCTCGACCCTGCTCAAGCCGAAACACCTAGCCGTGAACAAAATCGGCCATAGTCTGCACACGCTCTCCGAACCCTTCAAATCCATTACGCTTTCCCAACGCAACGCAGATATCGCCCGATCCCTGGGATTCAAAGACCCAAGGGTGCTGCAAAGCATGGTGATTTGCAAGCAGCCCGGGATTGGAGGGGCGGTGCCCCCGCACCGTGATAGCGAGTTTCTGTACACGGATCCGCCGAGTGCGGTTGGGTGGTGGATTGCGTTGCAGGATGCGGGGAAGGGGAATGCGAGTTTGGGGATGGTGAGGGGGAGTCATCGGCGGGGGG